GCAGTGGGTAACCAGCGAAGAATGAAGACGGGGATGAAGACCTAGGGCCCTGCGGTACCTAGTCCCGCTGTCCTAACGGGACCGGGACTCTGTGTAACCCAGAGGCGAGTGTAGTGTGTGTAGCCAGAGGCGTAAGGTCTACACGAGCCGAATGCAGTGTATTGTGTAGCCAGGGACATAGGGTCTACACGAGTCGAGTGTATTGTGTAGCCAGGGACATAGGGTCTACACGAGTCGAGTGTATTGTGTAGCCAGGGACATAGGGTCTACACGAGTCGAGTGTATTGTGTAGCCAGAGGCGTAGGGTCTACACGAGTGAAGGGTATCGTGTGTAGCCAGAGGCCTAGAGTTTACACGAGAGTAGTGGAGTGTGAAGTCGGAAGAAAGGAGACTACACGTTGTATTTTGATACGTAAAGATTTAATAAAAGTGTGTTCCCGTCAAGAAGTTCCTGCCGTCAATTCCCATACTTCATAGGTAAGCACATTATCAGCTCAGCCGGTGCGGCAAACGGTCAGGTGGGGCCCCAAGATGTAATTTGCGGAAGCCAAACGTTACTGATCTAACAAGTAAACCCGTAAAAACAAAGTTTTTCACTATAAATCCTTTATATGCGTGGCATCGGGGCGGCTAGAGTCCTCTCGTCCTCTGGCTTGAGATGGCTGCCACCATTAAGAAATTGGTAATTAAATATTTACAAATTTTTCCCTAAACAGTGTAAAATTTGGGAATTTTTTTTCACGAAAATAAATTGTCACGCACAACGAGTCTGTGTGCAAAATGTCAGCTCGATTGGATCACGGGAAGTGGGTTAAAAAACGACCGAAAGATTTGCACGGTCGTAAGCGCGCAAGCGAACTTAATATAAAGGATTTTAAAACTCAATTCGAAGCTTTCGGTAAAGTCACGTAGAAAGAAAATGTATTCAATAATAGAATACGACCTTTCGATTGCAACACAAGCAACCATCATCATGTAAGGATGAATGAGAAAACAAACATATCTTCTTGGTTCTTTCGGTAAAGTCACGTAGAAGGGAAATAATAAAATAATAAAAATCAAATGTTTTCTTTTTATTATTTTATTATTTCCCTTCTACGTGACTTTAAATCGAAAAACAAACATAGTAAACTTAGAAATATAATGCAATACATTACAGAGAGTCGGCTAACACAAGTCAACACCAGTGACGTGCGGGGTGAAGTCAATGGTTTGGGAGGCACTGGCTCGTGTCAGAGCCAGAGTCACACACCGAGGGGGGCGTGGCCTCACCGAGGGGGGCGTGGTCTCACTGAGGGGGGCGTGGCCTCACCGAGGGGGGGCGTGGCCTCACTGAGGGGGGCGTGGTCTCACTAAGGGGGCGTGGTCTCTTTGAGGGGCGTGGCCTCACCGAGGGGGGCGTGGCCTCACCGAAGGGGCGTGGTCTCTTTGAGGGGGCGTGGCCTCACTGAGGGGGCGTGTTAGACGTTTCGATTCCGATTTTCTTGCTCTAAGTATTGCCGTGCTGGTTTGTTTATAGTCCATTGTCTCTCCTCTGGCCACTATGGTCCGGAATTCCACACAACTCTCTCATTGTTTCGATTTAAAGCTTTCGTGACTGCAGGGATTCATCTTCTTGGTTCTTTCGGTAAAGTCACGTAGAAGGGAAATAATAAAAAAAGAAAACATAATAAAATATAATTAGATTACTATATTATTTTATTATATTTTTTATGATATTATTTTATTTATGTTTAATATAATAAAAAAATACAATAAAATAATATAGTAATCTAATTATATTTTATTATGTTTTCTTTTTTTATTATTTCCCTTCTACGTGACTTTACCGAAAGAAACAAGAAGATGACTCATTGTTCTCTACCCCAATCCCCTCCCCCCTCTCTCTATTTAAGGCCTCCACACAGTGGCGCTGTCTTTCTGTTTGCCATTCTTTGGAAGAACGTAATCAACCAGGTGGGGTGTTGACTGTTGTGTTCGCCGACTCTCTGTGTTGTACTGCGTTATATTTCTAAGTTTGCGATGTCTGTTTTTTCTCATTCATTCCTACCTGATGATGGTTGCTTGTGTTGCAATCAAAACGTCGTATTCTATTATTATTTGATTCCATTTTCTACGTGACTTTACCGAAAGAACCAAAGAGTACATGTATCTTCTTGGTTCTTTCGGTAAAGTCACGTAAAAGGGAAGTAATAAAATAATAAAAATAAAACATAATAATATAATATAATTATTATTTATATTATTTTATTACTTCCCTTCTACGTGACTTTACCGAAAGAACCAAGAAGATGAATCCCTGCAGTCACGAAAGCTTTAAATCGAAACCCAAAGAGTAGTTACTGATCTAGTTAAATCAAAGAAAATTAAACGTGGAACGTAAATTAAAGCGTTTACATAAACCAAAAATGTAATTTTTTTAAACCGCGTTCTAAATAAAAAATTTGTTCTATGACACTGTTGCTGAAAATATAGATCATCATGGTAGTTGTCAAGAGGGCCCTAACTCGTAACTTGGGCCACCGTTCCTGGCCGGCCCTCTGGGGGCTCACAGCAGACCCCGTTGACCTCCAACCCCACTACTCTCTCCCCTGCCTGCATCCTGGCAGCACTGCCACCCTCTGGCGGGCGTCGCAATGGGAGGGTGTGGGCACAGGCAGAGGTCGCAAACCGGTTTTGATTCATCTTCTTGGTTCTTTCGGTAAAGTCACCAGGATCGAAAACGGGTACCCGTACCCTACCCGATACCCGGCTACCCGTACCCGGCCGGGTATCGGGTACCCGATTGCGACCTCTGGGATGAAGCCATGTTGCAGGCGCGGGTGGGTTGATTCTAGAACTTGAATTGTGAGAAGAGACAAGACGTTGGGAAATGAGTGACAAACAGTTACTCACCAGTGACTCACGGACTACCCGTACCCGTACCCGGCCGGGTACGGGTAGCCGGGTATCGGGTAGGGTACGGGTATCGGGTACCCGGTTGCGACCTCTGGGATGAAGCCATGTTGCAGGCGCGGGTGGGTTGATTCTAGGAACTTGAATTGTGAGAAGAGACAAGACGTTGGGAAATGAGTGACAAACGGTGACTCACCAGTGACTCACGGCCTACCCGTACCCGGCCGGGTACGGGTAGCCGGGTATCGGGTAGGGTACGTATGGTGTCGTAATTGTATAGTAAACATATAGCAGTGTGATACACATTAGGGTGGGTAGAATAATACATAGTGTTATATTAAAATGGATAAGGCAGTAACTGCAGCAGCAGCAAGTGCAGCAGCAGCAGCAGCAAGTGCAGCAGCAGCAGCAAGTGCAGCAGCAGCAGCAAGTGCAGCAGCAGCAGAAACTGCAGCAGCAGCAGTAATTTCAGCAGCAGCAGTAACTGCAGCTCCCTTTGATGCTGTTAATCCTGCATAATGCACATGCATATGCAGGACTAATCACATTCCTGCATTCCCCATAAATATGCTAAATTCCTTTTGATATGCAAATTCCTTTGTCAATGCGCCCAGCTTATATATATGCTCCAAGCTCGTGTGCTGTTTCATTCAGACTCTGTCGCCTCGACGGACCTGGTTTTCACCTGAGGACGGCTGCTTGCGTTGTGGCCGAAACGTCGTGAGAATTGTTTTATTATGTTTTATTTTTATTATTTTATTACTTCCCTTCTACGTGACTTTACCGAAAGAACCAAGAAGAAGGGTACGGGTATCGGGTACCCGGTTGCGACCTCTGCTATGGTGGGTTGGAGGGAGGCGATTTGGCAACTTTGTGGAATGGGGAAGCGTGGATTTTATGAAAGATGGGGGGGGGGGGGGCACTCGTGGGGGTTACACAAAGACAAAGGTGCCCCCGTGTAGTCTTAACAAACGTGTTGGGGCAAGTGCTGTTAGCTAGAAATAGCAGCACCTATGAAGACATAGGTGTCGACCCATACGCTTTACCCCATATCCTTGTCCAGGAATATTTATTTTTCAGGTCCAGCCGTTTCAATGTGGGCAACCACTTTTGTTTTGTTTCGTCTTATTTGTTTGTGTTTCTCTCCCTTGTGATGGGACTTTGTAGGACGAACGCTGAGATTTTTAAGGGGCACGGGGTGAGCAGTAAGGTCTGAGTCGGTCTGTAGTAATCAAGTAGGGCACTTATAGGGGTCTGTAAGGGATTTACAGCGATGTGAAGGCCGGCACTGCACACACGAACGGGGGGCGACCAGCACCACGCCCGACCGCCTTTGTCTCCCTTCGTGGCCTTCTTTACGCACCCGACCAATTGCTCATTCGAGGCTGAGTCGACCTAGAGGGGGGGTGGGGGGCGGTTTCAGAAGAACACCGCCACGGCGTGGCCCGGCATTGGCTGAGAAGCACCCACGCCCTCCACGTGTGTGTCTGTGTGTGTGTGTGTTGGTGTGTCTCTGTCTGTGTCTCTGTGTGTGTGTCTCTGTGTGTGTGTCTGTGTGTGTGTGTCTGTGTGTGTGTCTCTGTGTGTGCCTCTGTGTGTGTGTCTGTGTGTCTCTGTGTGTGTGTGTCTCTGTGTGTGTCTCTCTGTGTGTGTGTCTCTGTGTGTGTGTCTCTGTGTGTCTGTGTCTGTGTGTCTCTGTGTGTCTGTGTGTGTGTCTCTGTGTGTGTGTCTTTGTGTGTGTTGTGTCTGTGTGTGTCTGTGTGTGTGTGTCTGTGTGTGTCTCTGTGTATGTGTGTCTGTGTCTCTGTGTGTGCGTGTCTGTGCGTGTCTGTGTGTGTGTCTCTCTGTGTGTGTGTGTCTGTGTGTGTCTGTGTGTGTGTCTGTGTGTGTCTGTGTGTGTGTCTCTGTGTGTGTGTCTGTGTGTGTGTCTCTGTGTATGTCTCTGTGTGTGTGTGTCTGTGTGTGTGTGTGTGTCTGTGTGTGTGTCTGTGTGTATGTGTCTGTGTGTGTGTGTGTCTGTGTGTATGTGTCTGTGTGTGTGTCTGTGTGTATGTGTGTGTGTCTCCTCCCCAGGGGGCAAACTTTCCTCTCGCCACCCCCACAGCCTCTCCCCCCTCTCTCGCTGCTCTCCACGTCAGCCACAAGCGAGCGTCGCCATCTCGAGAGGGGGCCACGATTCGCGAGTTCTCTCTCTCACCTCTCATCTCTCTCTCACCTCTCATCTCTCTCTCACCTCTCATCTCATCTCTCTCTCTGTGTGGAGGCCTTCTCTCTCATCTCTCTCTCATCTCGTCTCTCTCCTCTCTCTGCCAGCAGCGCCACGCTTCAAGCGCGTGGACTTCTTCCGCGGTTCGAGTGCGATTTTAACTTTGCTCGAGATGACGTTTTTGTTGTTGCAATTGGCGTTGTTCGTGCAACCACACGCTGAGTGTACACACACAAAACACAGACAACACACAGTACACACATACCTATACTACACACACACAGTATACACACAGACAATACACCCCCAGACAACACACACACAGTACACACATACCTATACAACACACACACAGTACACACAGACAACACACAGTACACACATACCTATACTACACACACACAGTACACACAGACAACACACAGTACACACATACCTATACTACACACACACAGTACACACACAGTACACACAGACAACACACACAGACAACACACACAGTACACACACAGTACACACATACCTATGCAACACACATACCTATACAACACACGCATAGTGCACACACATACGTGCATGGAGTGTTAGTTGCAAACACAGTACACACACACACACGTGTACCAACACAAACACACACACACGTCGTACGCACACGTGCGAAATAAGTTCAGCATACGTACAGAGTATCAGTCTACAGTACACACAGTACATGTGCATCGAGTGTTAGTGTACAACACAGTACAGTAGTAACACACCGATACAATAGCAAACGCTCGTCACCACGTGCCAGGCTAGGTGCACCCATACACACGCTGTTTTTGCAACGTTACGTACAGATCTTTGCTGTTGTAACAAGTGCCACGTGCTCGCGTTTAGTGGTGGGGCAGGTGCATGTCCGTGCTGTTTGTTGTAAGAATGTAAGGGGATGTGAATGTTAAACTATTGCAAGCCACGTGTTGTGTGTTCGTGAGCCACTAAGACACGTTACGAACGCGTATAAAGTTATGTATTGTGCAGAAGTACACAAAGTATGCACACACATAAACTCTATCAGCTACTATGTATATACACACACAAACGACTGTGCTGTGTTATACACGATGCATGTACTGTGCTTGACACGTGTTAATTTGTTCTTTGTATGTTACAACTCTGATAGTGCTGTTTGTTGCTGGCTGGCTTTTTATGCCCACTACGTACACAGTTTACACACATCATGTACATCATACACAGTCATATAAACACACGCGTTCTGCACGGGATGCAGTAAAGATCGTTATTGAACTTTATTAACCTAACCGGAAATTCACTCATTCACCAGTTCACTTTCACCATTCACTAACCCACTCATCCACCCCTTTTTACTTTTCCCATTCACCCATTCACTTACCCAAAATACCTCCACTCACCAACTCATTCACCCCCTTCATTCGCCCACTCATTCAATTGGCCATTCACTTACCCCACTCTCTCAGCACATCCCTTCACTTTTACCACTCATTCACCCCCTTCACTCGCCCACCCACTCTATCATTCACTTACCCACTTGGCAAACCTTGTTACTATCCCACTCACCCTTCACTCACCCCTTCACTCGTCCACCCACCCATTCACTCGTCCACCCACCCATTCATCCACCCATTCACTTTCCCACTCACTCATCCACCCATTCACTCGCCCACTCACCCCTTCACTCACCCCTTCACTCGTCCACCCACCCAATAACTTGCTCACTCCTTCACTCATTCCTTCACTCACTAACTCCTTTACCGTAACTCGCTACCCCCCCCCTCCCAGACCATGTCGGACCAAGCCCCCTTCGACACGGACGTGGTGACGCTGACCCGCTTCGTGCTGGAAGAGGGCAGGAGGGCCAAGGGCACGGGCGAGATGACCCAACTCCTCAACGCACTCTGCACCTCCATCAAGGCCATCTCGTCGGCCGTGCGCAAGGCCGGCCTCGCAAACCTGTAAGCACGGCGACCCTCGAAGGTCACCAGTCCCACGGCCATGGGGTCACACACACCGATGTCACACACCGAGGTCACACACCAGGGTCACACACCGGGGTCACACACCGAGGTCACACACCGATGTCACACACCGGGGTCACACCAAGGTCACACACACCGATGTCACACCAAGGTCACACACACCTGAGGTCACACAGACCGGGGTCACACACCGGGGTCACACACCCCGAGGTCACACACCCCGAGGTCACACACCCCGAGGTCAAGCTATGAGAAATTTTGGTGGAGCGATTGGTCCCCCCGCGATGTGCAAAGTTTCCCCGTGTTTCGAGGACTCTCCTCCACCGAGTAGCCAAGAGATTTTGCGCCACCGCTCGGGATGCGGCGAGCGGTGAAATAAACCTGAATACATTTTCCAAGGTGAACAACAACAACAAAAATTATCTTAGTGGGGCAAACAGTGCCCCACTGGCGAATTGCCCGATGATGCTGGTTGCAATTACCAGCGAAACGTCGTACTCAAATTGTAAATGTTGTGGTTTCGTGCTTCAACACACCGGTGGGCTAAAGCAGTGAACTATTTGTCTTTTGTCAACGTGACACTTTTTTACTGATTGGCCGTGTCGGGTGGTGGAGGGTTACGACACATTTATAAATAACGCGATCTAAACCCAAAAACGTTGATTATGAATAATATTGGTCGCGAAAGCCTGCTACGTGTTAAACTGAAAGTAAAATCTTGTTTAAAATCCATCCGACGAGCCAAGCATAGACGACGCAGTGGCATCGGGAGGATGATGAGACGCAGATATTTGTTTGCATCCATTGATTACCACTTTGTGGGTTTGGCTTATAGAGAGACTCGCTCGCCCTCCCGTCGTAGGAATGTGGAACTTCCATCACTTGGTGGTGGGGGGGGTAAACAGGATTTGAGTACCGCCTCGATCTTCAATCGAGCAGGAATTACTTTCAGTAGTAATTTCTATTATTTTTTCTATTAATTATTATAATTATTTATTTTTTACCTACGTGACTTTCCCGAAAAAACCTAAGAGTATGAATTCTTGCAGTCACGAAAGCTTCAAATCTAGAATTTCAGTAGTAAGTTGTGTCATACAGTACTGCAATACAAGTTGGCCTGATCTGGGCAGTGTTGGCTAACAAATGACCTTTTGACATTGCAGCAGCGACTGTTCAGAGTAAGCAATGGATTGGAGTGAAATGTAAGAGTAATGAGTAACCTCGTCACAGTGTGAAGACCCTCATCCAACAGTGGATTGACTAAGGGACGTGAATTATTATTTACTGTGTTATTAATTAGTAACCAGTGGTAACGTTCATCCACTTGTGTGTGTGAGCATGAGAATGTGTTCATGTTAGTATGTGTGTGTGCATGCTTCGGTAGTTTTGGGTAGCATTGTGGTTAGCATGCGGCGCTACGAACCCGCAGATGTGAGTTCGATCCCCATGCCACGGCTAACGGTGGCGATTATCTGAACCAGTTGTGTACCTCCCCTCCCCTAGGACAGGTTGGCCAAAAAATGAGTACCTGGGTGATCTGTGTGTAAATATCATCATTGGGGAGACAAAGGTGGCTGCGAATGGTGCTAACCCACACTATCTCTCGTGTACATGGCTCTATTGAACTGCGTTATATTATACAAGCAAATATAAGCAGAAGAAATCGGTTCTGTATCCAGTCGTGAATACAAATACGTTCGATTAAACAGCCGATTGGGTTTCCAGACCGATATTATCGAGCATCATTTGTCACAGCAAGGCAACTGTGGATTGCTTTCGATCCTCCTGAGTCTCGTCGGCAGTCAGGCTTGTAGAACAAATGCTGCGAACTTAAAATCTAGTAATCGCCAGATGGTTATTGTTCAGAGCAATTATACCAGGGTGAGCTTGCAAAAAAGGGAATGCCATTCAGAGTTAATGTTTAGAACATTTTCGACCAGTTTAACATTAAACGCATTCAACCGTTCAGACTGTTGCAATTCACTTTTGCAACAACGACAAAAATGAAAGTGAGCCATCAAGTTCTTTGCCTTCTGTGGCATTCAGTTTATTTTAAGCAATACACGTCGAACGTCACCAGCCATCGGCGTGAAGGCGCTGTGTCCTCGCTGCTCACGTTAACACGGGGATGGTGGCCGACTCTTGAGTTCCTGTAACATGCACGGAATTTTGATTTAAAGCTTTCGTGACTGCAGGGATTCATATTCTTGGTTCTTTCAGGTAAAGTCACGTAGAAGGGAGATAATAAAATAATATAAAACAATAAAAATTCTCACGACGTTTCGACTGCAACACAAGCAATCATCATCAGGTGTGAAATCCACAGCAAGAAAATTTTAAAGAAAATCCACAGCATTTTCAAGAAAATCCACAGCAAGAAAATTTTCAAGAAAATTTTCATGCTGTGGATTTCACACCTGATTATTTTTTATATTATTTTATTATCTCCCTTCTACGTGACTTTACCGAAAGAACCAAGAATATGCACCGAATTCCCGCTGAAAATTAGGAAACGTGACGACGCAACCAACCTATTTGTATCCTCGCTTGCGATGAAATCTTCAGATCTCTCATAAGCTCAGCAGGATTGAGCTTGTGTTCTAATTGGGTGGGCAACGGTCATACCCTACAGATGTTGTAGGATGCTGCAGGGTTACGTGGCGAGCAGCAGTGGAATCAAGGTCAGTTGTTGTACTGTACTATGCTCCTGTGTCTACGCTCTCCACCTTAACCAATCCGTATGGTTAAAAAACGCCCAGGACCTTCATGGTTTTGGGGAGACTCGTTCAAAAGTAGAATGACAAAGGGCCCTAAGATGGCCACGTGTATGCATAGATTTCGGTATCTTTGTGCCGGGTAAATAGTCCGGGGCAGTGCTCGGCGAGAGATCCTGGAGCGGTGCTGTTTGTGTTAGGGGTTTGGGTGTTTCCAGTGCGGATGAGTAGTGCGATGACGGTTCAGAGCGGCGGGCATTTCCACAGGACTTTACCAGGGACATGCAACAGCAGTGGAAGGAGGAGAATGACAGGAATGTCGGTAAACTCAAGTCATGTAATTTGCTCGAAGGCAGATTCGTCTAACCCAGGGGTCGGGAACCTTCTTGACTGGGAGAGCCATAAAAGCCAAATATTTCTAAATATATTTCATTGAGAGCCATATAGTATTTTTAACGTATAATAAATTAAATATGTCTTACTTTTAATGCGACTTCTGGTGCTGCATGGTTTTTGCTGATGGCCTTGTAGTCTGGTTCATACGTGATGAGGTTGAGCTTCATGCAGGCGTGACCCGTGAAATTTATTTAAGTATTTTTAAATCAGTTCCAAACTGATTTTTTTTTCAACTCAAAATTGTCTGGGAGCCATATGCCGTCACTGGAAGAGCCATATACGGCTCGCGAGCCACAGGTTCCCGACCGCTGGTCTAACCCGTTTGCACAAATTGTGGGGCGCACTTAGCACAGAGTAGACCAAGTCAGAACATAAAAGTAAAGGTGCAACTAATCAATGATTTGTTCTCTTCACTGCTGGTGGAAGGGCCTCCATTAGAAACCGCATCGGCCCCTTGTCACAATCCGCTGCTGGATGAAGGCCTCGCCACATTGTGTCTGTTGGGTTTGCTTGACCGTATACATCGCCACGTCGGTGAGTGCGGCAGGCAGTTAGACGTGGTGCTCCGATTCCGTTGTGGGGGTGTGCTGACCGCTGCACCACCGCACCACAAAGTAACTTGACAACCCCTCACATAGATTCCTCTGCCCTTGCTGAGTCGGTTATTAGACTCGGGGCTGTGGGTGCAGTTGAAGGGGGTGGGGAAGTAGGAGACGGATGGAATTGCAGAGGTTACATATGGGAATGTGTGTGAAAGCAAGTTAAACCTGTTTCATTTGTACTTAAGCGCTTTGTAACAGCACAGCAGCAGCATTAATTTAGAGTAATTTATTACAATTGCACACTACAAATGCATTTCAGTATCTCCCGATTAGCACGGTTGGCTACGTACGATACATACTAAAGCATTAATTTAGAGTAATTTATTACAATTGCACGCTACATATGCATTTGACTATCTCCCAATTAGCACGGTTGGCTACGTACGGTACATACAAGTGTACACACGTGGCCAAATCACCTGGGAAGTACCCGATCTCATCAGGTGTCATCATAAGCTTCTCAGAATTTAGCCTGGATAGTGCTAGGATGGGTGACCACAGTGCATAAAGCAGGTGCTATAGGCTGCTGCAGGGCTACATTGTCAGTAGAGGGCATTCCAGCAAAGGCCATCTATATACTGCACTATGCAACAATAACTATGCTCTTCATCTCCAACAACCCGCACTGACCTGCTTGGTGAATGATTAAATGAACCCCACAAATACTGTTTTCTTGGTATTTCTCTCACTTGATACAGCTATCGTGCTGTGACGGTTCCACCTGAAGATGGAAGCTTGTGTTGTCTCCGAAACGTCGTGATTTTTATTTTATTTTTCTTTACTTTGATTAATTTTAATGTTTTACCTACGTGACTTTACCGAAAAAACCTAAGAATATGAATCCTTGCAGTCACGAAAGCTTCAAATCTAGAATGAACCTCACAACCCACACAGTGCGAAGAAGCCCTCATCTAGCAGTAGATCGACAATGGGGGCTGTACAACCTGCCCGTCCACTAATTATGCTGAACCCGTGATAATTGTTTTTTTACTCTTCTATCTGGCAACAAAACTGACACCTTTTTTTACAAGGAGTCATGTTTGCATAGACCACAATACCTGCAGTCATAATGCAAACAAAAAACACTAACTCTGATAATGTGCACTGTCCTTGAAGTTGATTGGTCCACACCCGAGACAGCTTTCCTTAGAGCCTAGTCTCACATGGTGTTGGACCAGATGACGCCAAAAGGCGCACAACTCAAAGACAATGTACCATCAGAGTATGAGAGCTCGGGGTAAGCATTTACACCAGTTGGAACCTCATTTGCCAGTAAAAAATATGATCATTGGTTTTTTACCCTTCTATCTGGCAACAAAACTGACACCTTTATTTTACCTTGTAAAAATGAGGTTCCAATGGTATGCTGAACCCATTTATACTGTTGGGTGCATGGAGGCGGTGCGGAAGATTGAATAAACTTGCACTGATGTTTCAACCGCGTACCCAGGGGATAGAATCGAACCGGCGACCTCTGCATTGCGGGTCCAGTATGCTGGACCTCCAATTAGCAGGGTTGGCTACTTATTGCGCGAAAGAAGTTGAACATGCGTACATGCTCACCGTTGCACCACAGAAACATCCGTAATTTCGTGGTGGCGAGATGTTCGCTACCCCGCCTGGTATGCAGGAGGTCGTGGGTTCGATCCCGACCCTGAAGCCTGTATATTTGGAGTTTGCGTGTTCTCCACGTTGTAATATGAATCGCCGTCGATCTATCCCCGCGCAGCTACGGGATCGCGGGCAGCACGAACACGACGGGCGACCAGGTGAAGAAGCTCGACGTCCTCTCCAACGACCTCGTGGTGAACCTGCTGCGGGCCTCCTTCGCCACCTGCGTTCTCGTGTCCGAGGAGGACCAGGAAGCCATCATCATCGAAGCCGAAAAGCGGGTCAGGGAGGGATGACCTACGAAAACCAGAAAGAGCACCCACGTAACACCTATTTTACTGGTCATTGCACTGGCTGACAGTCACTCAGTAGAAATTATTTTAAAGTTATTTTATTGGTTTTTAAATCGTTGAATGGTTTGGCACCAGCATACATGTCTTGCATGATGTTGAGATGTGAACCAACAAGATCCCCCAGAACCTCCGGTTCGGGTCTTTTAGTCACCCCAAGGCCCAGGACCAAAACTCCCAGAGAAAGCGGCCTTCAGTGTGCATGGTCCTCGCCTGTGGAGCAGCTTGCCAGGGCATCTGAGGGCTTCACAATCATTAAGCATCTTCTTGGTTCTTTCGGTAAAGTCACGTAGAAGGGAAGTAATAAAATAAAAAATAATAAAATAATAATAAAATAATTCTCACGACGTTTCGGCCACAACGCAAGCAGGTGAAGAATTCTTCACCTGAGGACGGCTGCTTGCGTTGTGGCCGAAACGTCGTGAGAATTATTTTATTATTATTATTTTTTTACTTCCCTTCTATGTGACTTTACCGAAAGAACCAAGAAGATGAATCCCTGCAGTCACGAAAGCTTTAAATCGAAATCATTAAGCAATTTTAAGTTAAATAAACAAACGTACTTTTTTTAGCTTGCTTTTATTTGGGATACTTTTATAGTGTTATATTTTTTTTATATGCCTTCACTAGCATTTTATTATAACGCAATTTACTTTTGTATGGAAATTGCTTTTATTGTTCTTTTGATTCAGTCTTTTAACAATGTTTTCTTTTACCTGTACAGCACTTTGAATTGCATCTTTTGCACGAAATAGTGCTATAGAAATAAAGACTTGATTGATTGATTGATCAGGGTGGGGGAACCTGCAAGGTTCATGAGCTATAACCCGGCCTGAGACTTTATTTCACACGATTCCGCAGGCAACGTGAGGCCTACCATTTGGAAAAGGCCCGTAAAAATTATATTTGTCTGTAGCGACTGTTTTTTCGTTCTATCACGTGATGTTGGATGTATCCGCTCAATATTTAGATGTGAGAGAGACAGTGCCGCAGTCTAAGTGTGAAGGGGGGGGGGATTGGAAGGTAGAGGCTGGTAAACAACCCCGGAACACAGTCCAGCAGGAGTATTTGTTCAAGACCAGTTGTGGACAATTACATAAAATGGGGTCACGGGCTATATGCAACCCGGGCCCTAATAAAACAACCCACCAGGATGGTCCAAATAAAATCAACCCTAAACGTGTTCACATCTCTGTATTTTGTGTAAAACACCGATGTACGTGAAGGTTTGCCAGCCAAGAAAGATGAAAAGTCTGAGTTTTCTCAAGAAGGAGGAAGCACACCCATTTAGCAAGCGTTTGGCCCATAGACCCCTGGTTTAGTCCCATAATAAAACTAAAAAGCCGCGGTGTAATCCCACGTTGTGTAACGTGTCGCCTTGTGACGTTCACAGGGCAAATACGTGGTCTGCTTTGACCCTCTGGACGGCTCCTCCTAACATCGACTGCCTGGCCTCCATTGGGACCATCTTTGCCATTTACAAAAAGGTACTTCACAGTCAAGAGGTCATCATAGCTAACGATGTCGATCCCACCACACCATCACTGCTTTTCCTGCTGGCACACCCTGTAACTCTCGAACAGTGGAGGGTGTGCTTTTATTTGTGAGTGCGGGACTCTCGCTTGAAGTGACATGGAACTGCGGCGTTTCGGGGTGGTGAAATGTACAGTGGACTTCTGTAAATTTTTTTATATTTGTTTAATTATTTTCGTAACCAAAGGTAACGCTTGTCGCAGGCGTTCACGATTGGAATCCAGTGGCCGCCCCGATTAACGCTGCGAGTGTATTAACCATAAAAAATTAACCCGTAAAAACAAAGTTTTTCACTATAAATCCTTTATATGCTTGGCGGCTAGAGTCCTCTCGTCCTCTGGCTTGAGATGGCTGCCACCTATGGGTCAGATGATTGCCTGCCACCATTAAGCAATTGGTAATTAAATATAATTTATTTTTTCCTAAAAAGTGTAAAATTTTGGAAAAAAAAATTCACGAAAATAAATTGTCACGCACGAGTCTGTGTGCAAAATGTCAGCTCGATTGGATCACGGGAAGTGGGTTAAAAAACGACCGAAAGATTTGCACGGTCGTAAGCGCGCAAGCAAGTGAACTTAATATAAAGGATTTAAAAATAGTGCTTTCTTTTTCTTCACAATTGAGCGGTGTTCTTCATTGCAAGGCCCTGCGTGCGACTGGCAGCCCCTGGTGACCTTTAGTGCGGCCCCTGACGTACAGCCCCTGACAATGCACAAATGTGAAAAACCCCATAATGATGAAAAATAAGAATAGGTTTTACCATTTCTGGCAATAAAACAGGTGTTAAGATGTTCAAACACCAAATAGATACCTTTTTGCAAGGCATCAAGTCTGAATTAACCCCACATACTTGCTGCAAAACATGCAAACAAACGTGCTCTGATAATTATTGATACTGGAAAAAAGGTCCCATAGATTTACCCCATAATGCTGTCAAACCCAATGGTTTCAAATGTGTGGTGGCCCTCACAATGCTGATGTCCCACCTCTGAAAATTAGTGAAGACCGCTGCAGTCGACGCTAAAGATCCCGTGATGGTCATTCGCAACAGTAGGCCATTGTGTGCCGGTGTCATGGTCCGAATTTAAAAAATTACCCCACTGGGATGATGCATAGCAACCATCGCACCCAACTGTGAAACTTAGCAGAAGCCACCTGTAAAAGAGTCACAGCTGAGCTCTTGGGATTGAATTGAGGTTTCGGCTGCCCACGAATAATCTTGGTTCTCAAGTTTAGCGAGTTGGTGGTCATAGTCAGGTCACCAATGTCTGCACACAAAAACGATCATTAAAATTAGTTTCAAACTTAAATTAGCTTCTATTCCAGCTCTGAAAACAAAAACAATATATGGATATGACTGCCATCTGATGAATACCTTGTTGTAGCAGGGAGTGCGGGAAAGAGTTTAAAACGTTCGCTTGAATGTATCTCTCTTTACAGTGTCATGTGTTCTAAAGCGCTCCTATATTCCCGTACTTATACAGCACAGTAAAGCAATTTTCCCATGTTTCAAGCGGCATGTGATTGGAACATATAGACCAACGTTAGCCCAACGTTGATCCAATGGTTCCACATTTACTGGAATTGTGCACGGTGTAACTATCATTTTCTATAAATCTTCCGACATCCGTCCCTTTCACATATTCGTCCATACCAGCGAGTCAGATACGCAAGATTACACTGCACCACCGTACCATACCATAAAACGTTATGCCATTGTGTGTTTTTCTAATAAATTTTTTTTGTTGAATCTCAAACCTATTTACAGAATTTTCAGAGGGACGCTGTCTCGCTTCGCCAATTTGCTGGGTCTATTTGTTGAACCTGTGATGGGCTATCTGATGTAATTTGCTCTCTGCCCTTTATCTTGTTTGTGTCCCGTCCGGCGCGCTCGGACTATAGTCTTGCGACCATTGCGCTGTGCTATGATCATTGTGGGCGTTTTGTTGGGAAAAAAAGCTGAGCTCGTGGATCAAAGTTCAACAACGGAGTGTTGCATTGGTGAGCAGCCAAGGCTGTGCACCATTTAGGGATTTTGAGTGTTTTTTTTCAACTCCCTCTCTTAGTTTGTATTGTGTAACGCTCTCAGCTGTTGTTGTTTTGTAAATGGTGTCTGTTATTTGCAAATATATATTTTGTCACGAAGGCCTTGGGTTTGTGGGAGCTTGCATGACTGCATTGCACCTCCGATTACCACGGTTGGCTACGTACGGTGCGAAAGAAGTTCAACACACATCAACGTTCCACTTGAGTCAAATGCCTTTTAATCGTCGGTAAAGGTTAGGCATAACGGTCTTTGATAATTCCGTTAAAGTTTTTAACGAGTGTATATCATCTGCGATGATGCGTGTATCGGAAAACATGGACAGCGATTCAAGGAAAGGTGGAACAAAAGCTTAAAAGCGCACAAAGAGAAGCGTTGGAGAAGTGCATGCTGGGAATTACACTGAGAGACAGGAAGAGTAAAACGCGTGTACGAGAGAACACAAGTGAGTTGAGAGACATGACATCAACCGTTCAGTAAACGTAGTGATCTTGGACAAGACGCATCACTAGAAAGGATGATGGCAGTTGGTCAAGACTTGACGGTGAAGTGGCAGCCAAAGAAATACCAAGTGTTGTAAGCTTTGGCTGCCAAGGTATGTATGTTGACTTAGGGTCAACGGCGGCGTGGTGTATTCCGCAAATATGCCCGACTGTGAGGGCAGGCACAAGCCGGCGTGAGTAGGTTAAACATTAAGTTTTATAAGGGCACCACGGGGTGACCAGCCCCTCCCCACCCAGCCCCATCCCTCCCACCCCCCAACCAGCCCCACCCTCCCCACCCAGCCCCTCCCCTCCCCTCCCCATCCAGCCCCTCCCCACCCTCCCCACCCAGCCCCTCCCCACCCTCCCCTCTCCACCCAGCCCCACCCCTCCCATTTTTTGATGCACGACGGACGGACACAATAATCCCCTGTGGGCTGGTGGAACCAGGTGGTTCCTACCAGTATTAGTTTTCAAGCTAGATTTGAAAGTGCATAGCTCCCACAGTGGCTTGCGAATATCGGAAGGAAGATCATTCCAGATGGCCGCAGAAGCGCATCTGAAAGTGCGCGTTGCAGTGACCACCTTTGTTTGATGCCTAGCCAAAAAAAAGTGGCCAGGAAGTAGCGGTACAACAGTTGATGGTTTTTATTATGCAGATCTTTGTGTATTACGCCATAGTTCTCTTAGAGGGGTTTCTCCCGGTTCTCGAGCTGTTTACCCCGTACATGAAAAATACTCACCAATAGAATTGACCAAACACCTCTATTCAGTGTCCCCCCTGAAAAAGTATTGAAAGTAAGAGAGGCTTTCCTGGCTAAATGTACAATGTACGGCCCATTTGTCAATACACTGCTGGATGAGGCCCTCCCCTTGCCACGAGGATCGTCCGGATTGTATATACTCCCCCACGCTGATCAGTGTGGGTTGGTGAAGTCGGAAAGAATATATATGGGAGCATGTATGTTGAACTCCTTTCGCACCGTACGTAGCCAACCATGCTAATCGTAAGCGCGGGCAATGGACAACACATAGTATGTTACAACAATACATTTTGGCTGCACTATCCCTTGCTGACAAGCTAGCCTGGGCAAATATAGGCCATTACGATTTATATTATTTACAAATTGACAGTGCAATTCAAGCACTCAACAGCAATTTGAAGTCGGTGATATCACAGGAGGCTGGAACCAGTTTTTAAAACCCCGGGACCTCTTCGTTTGCTAGCTCAGTCCACTATCCTGGCTTTTCTTGGATTTTCTGTTTGCACATAGTCACTTTAAGATGTTTTCTTGTTCATGTTTTTTTGTTTGTTGCGGTTGCACCCGATTCAAGAGCCGAATGGCTCACAGGGCTATACCTAATAAATGAACTTTGAACTTTGATCCAACACGGCCATTGTGAGCCAGCGCCCCCCACTTCTCTCCATCTCTCGCGCTCGTTGCAGACGACGGACGATGAGCCCACGGCGAAACACGCACTGCAGCCCGGCCGCACGCTGGTGGCGGCCGGCTACGCCCTGTACGGCAGCGCCACGCTCCTCACGCTCTCGACGGGACAGGGTGTCAACTGCTTCATGCTGGACCCGGTATGCGACTACCTCGGCGCCCTAGCACACATGCGTATCATTAAAAAATATAAAAATACTTGCAATTATATTGAGCGACCGCAGTTATATTGGAATGAACAAGGACTGTAGAAATAAAGCGTGGATTCCTGAATTGTATTGTTTCGGTTTGTAGTTTCTTTAAGCAGGTAAGAATTCGAGATCAGGATGGTCTCATCTGCTAGAGATACCCGAGGTATCAGTCTGCCAGTAGGGGTGGGGGGGGGGGGGGTTGGGGCTATGATTTCCACGTATTATCCAAATGAGTAATTTTGCGGGAAATTTTCGAATTTGGCAAATTTGGACCCTGACACCAGTTCACAATGGCCTACTCTTGTGAATGATGACGGGGGATTTTTAACTTCCACTGTGCAGCAAATCGCACACAGTATTATTATAGTTGTTGCAACCGCAGAGTAATTATAATCAGGGCGGCCGCGGGATTTGAACCGTGACCATTGCGGAAAGCGATGAATGCGCCACCGATAGGCCACGTCGCCGCCCGACCCTAAGTTGTGACAACTCATCAAATCTCTGGGTGGGTAGGGGGCATATTGTTGACATTGTGGAGAATGTAGCGCCTCTAGTGACTGGGCATGGTTTACTCGAGCCAGCTACATAAAACATATAAGAGTCTAAAATAAGCGATGAATTGGTGCGCAGATACCAGGAGTACAGAGCGACACTATGGGTTGCTTTTGTTTGAAAGGCCTCTGCGGGCAAGCGGGAGAGGTTCGTGTTATTTCGTGTGTCCCACCGCAGGCCATCGGAGAGTTCATCCTCACAGAGAAGAACGTGAGGATCAAGAAGAAGGGGAAGATCTACAGCCTCAACGAGGGCTACGCAAAGTACTTTGAGCCAGCCGTCACGGAGTACGTGCAGAAGAAGAAGTTCCCCGAGGTGCGAAGTTAAGAAAGTGGCACGCTCACTCGCTATTTAAACAATTTTCTTTATTTTACCAGATATGGGCCACTGAGGTATATAACTATTTTTCAGAAGCGACTTGGCCATGATAGCTCAACGAAGTGGCTTATCATGTGGACATTTATAGCAGCCAAATGCTCAGGATGGCAGTGGGGAGCGGTGGTGCGGCGGTTAGCGCGCTACGCTACGGACTTGGTGACCCACGTTCGATTCCCGCTCATGGTCAACACCAGTGACGATCATCTGAATAGAGACACACACAGAGACACACACAGAGAGACACACACACAGAGAGACACACACACAGAGAGACACACACACAGAGAGACACACACAGAGAGACACACACACAGAGACACACACGTGGAGGGCGTGGGTGCTTAGCCAATGCCGGGCCACGCCGTGGCGGAGTTCTTCTGAAACCGCCTCCCCACCCCCCCCCCCAGGTAGACTCAGCCTGAAATGAGTACTGGTGCGGTGTGTATACATCGCCACTGGGGAGACAAAGGCGGCCGGGCATGGTGTTCACCGTGTGCCGTGCCGGCCTTCATAGGTGCTCACTAACAGCACTTGCCCCAACAGTCTGTTACAGCTATACGGGGGGGGTTTTGTCTTTGTCTTGCAGGATGGCAGTTCTCCATACGGCGCTCGCTACGTGGGCTCCATGGTGGCGGACGTGCACCGCACACTGGTGTACGGCGGCATCTTCCTCTACCCCGCCAACAGCAAGAGCCCCAAGGGCAAGGTGAGTCACTCGAATGAGTGTGTGTGTGAATGTAACCTTTGGTGAATGCATTCGCCTGTCTGTTCATCAAGTCCATCTTCTTCTTTTGTACGGCTGATGTAGACGCAGAGCAACAACTACAAATTCGTATTCAGGTTGGTCAAACCAGATAACCGCGTCAGGAGCAGTGGAGTGTATTGCTGCGATGTCTTATATTTGTGGATCGGGCATTGCGTTCTTATTTGTTGTGTATGGTCTGTTCTGGATGATCCCACAGTCGCACAATAGAGAGTTTTTAATTGTCCATTTGTGCATCACGTGTCCGCATCTGCCATGGTTTGTGCGGTGGATGCGGTTTAGGGTGGACCGTGAGCTTCGTTGCCGTTTGTCTTCCCGGTTGGGGGCGATGTTTGCTACGTATCAACCCTCATGAGTGAACTGCGTGCAATTTTTCAAATTAGGACCACGATGCCGGCACACAATGGCCAACTCGTTTACAATGACGTCAGGGAATCCTTAACATCCACTGAAGCGAACCATCCGTATTTTATGATTAATACAGCCGCGGTAAATAACCACAGCAGTCTGCCGGATTTGAAGCGCGAACCTCTGCAATTATCAGCAAACCCAGCTACCGCTCGATCTATATCCACCGCCCCCAGGTTCGTGTCTGTGAAATATTGTGCGTCTTACAAATTGCATTAGTTATATTATAAATGAATACACTCCCCAACTGTCAACACCCCGAGCTGCGCCTGCTATATGAGTGCAATTCCATGGCGTTCAACCCTGTGACGTTCGTTTGGGAAATATTGTGCGTGTTACAAATTGCGTTAATGTTATTATAATTACAAATGAATACGCTGCACGACTGTCAACGCCGCATTCCCTCTCCTAGCTGCGGCTTCTGTACGAGTGCAACCCCATGGCGTTCATCATGGAGCAGGCGGGAGGGATGGCGACGGACGGGACACGCCACATCCTGGACATCCAGCCCGACTCGCTGCACCAGCGCGCGCCCATCGTGCTCGGCTCGCCAGACGACGTCACCGAGTTCATGGAGATCGCGAAGAAGCACGCGGCCAAATAGAGTGCGGAGGGGGGCGGCTGACATCGGTGCATGTGGGGGGCTGATGGTGGGAGGAGTGGATGGGGTCCAGGGCTGGGAGAGGTCCAATCAACCGCAGAGGTGTTCTCTCTACAAGTCTGTAATTGCAAGTAGCTTTAAAATGTAATTGGCGGTTGTATAATTTACACACTCGGGGTGGGGGGTGGGGAGATTACACGAATCGTACACCAATCCGGGTCACTCTTGCCAATGAGACTCTTCTGGTGTCTTGAGTTCTCATCTGGTTAAATAAAGTAAACTTGAAACTGAAACAAAATTGACTTGTGAAGAAAATATGATCGACCCGTTGCGCAGCTGTGAAAAACTTTATCTTGACGACGAATCAGATTTGACTGTGATCACAAAGGTTGTGTTTGCAGATATTCACGCCCAAGTTGTAATTGAAATGTCGCTGTTAATAGTCAAAAGGTCAAATGCATCTTTTGTTGCCTTGGAAAGCTAAATCTTTCTCTGAGCATTTTTCATTCACTGACCAAAGTGCCTTCATGCTCAAGTGAGTATGGTGCAGTTCATAGCATTTATTGTGGGTCCTGAATCAGTGGTTAGAATTCCACATTCCTATGACAGGGAGCCAATATATCCACAGCACAACTACTGTTAACTTTCCACAAAGTGGTACTCCTTTTATAGACCACAGAGATGTTGATGGTGGGTTGAGTTAACGCCCTGTGACCAGGATTTAATTTCGCATGCTTCCAATCGCGCGTTGAAATTAAGCAACAGTGTTTTTTTTGTAAATTTAAATGATTTAATTAAACAATATGGGCTCTTTGAGACCTTTTGTTGAAGTGATTTAATAAAATTGCTTAGCTTGGTTTAGCTATTGTGATTTTGGGACGAGGTATGGTGAATGATTAGACAATCCAATGGTGTTCCGCGAACGATTTTGTCTGTTGTACCGTGCAATGATTAAAACAATGAAACGAAGACCAACAAACAACATTGCTGTGCATATTTTGAAAAATAAATATCTCCTTGAATGTTTTTTTTCTCTTGCCATTTTAACTCGATTGTTTTACCAGTTTTGGGTTATTGGACAAAGAACCAATTTGAAATCTTGTAGAAGTGCGACCTGTCATGTTAGAGAATGGCCCGTGGAAGCAAATATCATAGACCTACCTCTGAGGTCCCTTATCGTGACTTCTGATCCACACAGTATAGGACATGAGATCATTTTCAAGGTTTACACACATTCTGGAGTGAAAAGGTGCCACAATGGTTAGTGCACTGAAAAATGAACCAGGTGAACTTGAGTTCGATGCCTGGCCATAGCTAATGTCAGTGGTGAGTGATCGTTGAACTGGTGGTGACCCCATCACCCTTTCACCAACCTGCAGTTACCAGTGTGGTAACTAGAGTCAAACATGGCTTTAACAAGTGTTGGAGGGTCTTCAGAAAAATCTGGAAATAACCTTAATAATTTTACATTTCCAGTGCTTTCCTGATCATTCTGAAGTTTACTGAAAAAAGATCCGTAATTTATTTAATAATTATAGTCGGGATCCAGATTTCATATATGCACTTGGTATGTGTCTTAGGATTGCCACCTGTTCAGGTTTGACTTGAATTCCCGGGAATTGCCATCTGTGTTTGGGTGGCAGGTATTGCTTTGCACCGAGATCTGGTATTGTGTTGAACTTTATTTACAGTTCACTGCACGCTAGTTTTGATGGACCGAAGCGAAAACAAAAACAGAAAAAGCAGCCTCCACAATGCTCAAATTGGAAAAGCCTGGTGTAGTGTGAGTGAGAACGATCACTAGCAATTGCTCGCATGAGAGGAAGCGTTGGGATCTTACGATGACCAATACCCACAATGGGATCAATCCCCACAGATTGGGATACTTTCCCATAATGAGATCATGTCCATGGTGGCGAGATGTTAACTACCTCGCCTGATATACACAGGCTACCTATCTCAACGGGGGCCCCTCTCATTTCTCCCGACTCACTTTCACTGAAATAGCTACGGATGGTTTTAACCCATATACAATAATTACGTAGGCTATAACTAGAAGAAATATATTATTTTTGTTGCACCGTGTATTGGGTTTAGAGGAAGACAAGCCTCACAGTGACAGTATTAATACAAATATTTAAAGGTACAATGCTCATAATTCAGTCATCATGCGTCTTGTTTTCATGTGCATGTCAGTTAGCAAAAAAGTCTCGTAGTCTTCAGTAACAAACACCAGCAGTAGCGCTGCTTTATTTTACGCTGTGTGTATTTTTATGACATTTTTTTCATTTATAACAATTTTTCTGGCATTTATGGTGGCTTGAATAATCTTTTAAAATCATTTTCATTAACATATCTGTTGGTTCGGTGCCCCCTTGTGGCCGACTAGGCCCCGATGCTTCGCATAACGCCGCATAACCTCGTAGTTGCGACCCTGAGTTTATATCTAGAGCTGTTAACTACCTCGCCTGGTACACAGGAGGTCGTGGGTTCGATCCCAAATCCTGACGCCTGTTGCTGTATATTTGGAGTTTGTGGTTTCTCTCTCCCCTGGGGCCTCGGGGTTTTTCCCCTCCACATTTTTAATCAACATCACGGCGTTTAGAGTATTTGGCTACTGCTATAAACTTTCCAGATGATGATAAGGGGCCGTCCATAAATGACGTCACGCACCTGGGGGGGGGTCAGACATTTGTGACGATGTGTGGCGAGGGGGGGAGGCTTGAGAAATGTGACGTCACATCAAAATGCGTAACTTTAAATATAGACAACACGTTCTACTTAATTAAATATACTTTTTAATAACATCAGAGTGCAGCGCCACATTAAATACGCACTACAATGACAATAGTTTAAAGCGAGTTGAAGATTGTTTTATTTGGGGGGGGGGGGCAGAGCTTTATGACGTCATATTTGAGGGGGGGGTCTGACTTTTTGTGACGCAGCGTGACGAGGGGGGGGGGTCAAAAATCGTCCAAAATCGCGTGACGTCATTTATGGACGGCCCCAAAGCCACTTCGTTGAGCTCTATCATATGTGATAGCCAGGTCACTGCTAATAAAGACCCATATAGTTCAGTGGGCATTTTTCTTAGGTTTTTTCGGTAAAGTCACGTAGGTAAAACATCAAAATTAATGAAAATAAAATAAAAATCACGACGTTTCGGAGAGGGGGGGGGGAGCTCTCCTCCCCCCTCAACTTACTTTTAAGGGATTACATCTTGAATCATTGCCTCACTTGATGCAGCTCATCCGGCTGTGACGGTCCCACCTGATGACGGAGACTTGTGTTGCCTCCGAAACGTCGTGATTTTTATTTTATTTTCATTAATTTTGATGTTTTACCTACGTGACTTTACCGAAAAAACCTAAGAATATGAATCCTTGCAGTCACGAAAGCTTCAAGTCTAGAATCAGTGGGCATTACCTGGTAACATAAAAAAATAGTTTAACACGTAGGCTTTCGCGACCAATATTATTCATAATCAACGTTTTTGGGTTTAGATCGCGTTATTTATAAATGTGTCGTAATTTTTTTTTTTAATGTTGTGGATTCACGCTTCAACACACCGATGGGCTAAAGCAGTGAACTATTTGTCTTTTGTCAACGTTACACTTTTTACTGATTGGCCGTGTCGGGTGGTGGAGGGCTACGACACATTTATAAATAACGCGATCTAAACCTAAAAACGTTGATTATGAAGAAAAAAAATAGCTTCGTTTAATTAAGACGGAAGCAGGAATACTTCTTCTCAATTTTCGTTAATTGCCTGATGAAGCCGGTTGTAATCACCAGCGAAACGTCACAGTGCTTGAATGATAAATGTCGTGGGTTTACTCTCCAACACACAACCGGTTAGTGCTGTTCACGGGACAAACTTTTACTAATTGGCTGCGTCGGGTGGTGGCGTGTTCGACGACACGCGATCTAACCAAAACAAATTACAAGCTTGATCATGGATACTATTGTTCGCGAAAGCCTCCTCCTACTACCACTACGACCAACCACTACGTGTTGACAAAAAATACATTCCTGCGGAGGGAGCTGGTAGGAACGTTTGGTTGCAAGGTCAATGGCCAGGGTCAACGGCGGCGTGGTGTATTCCGCAAATATGCCCGACTGTGAGGGCGGGCACAAGCCGGCGTGAGTAGGTTAAACGTTGAGTTTTATAAGGGCACCACGGGGTGACCAGCCCCCCCACCCCCAGCCCCACCCCTCCCCACCCTCCCCTCTCCACCCAGCCCCTCCCCACCCAGCCCCCCCACCCCCCACCCAGCCCCCCCACCCCCCACCCAGCCCCTCCCCACCCTCCCCTCTCCACCCAGCCCCTCCCCACCCAGCCCCCCACCCAGCCCCTCCCCACCCTCCCCTCTCCACCCAGCCCCTCCCCACCCAGCCCCCCCACCCCCCCCACCCTCCCCTCTCCACCCAGCCCCTCCTCACCCAGCCCCCCCACCCCCCACCCAGCCCCTCCCCACCCTCCCCTCTCCACCCAGCCCCTCCCAACCCAGCCCCCCCCACCCCCCACCCTCCCCTCTCCACCCAGCCACTCCCCACCCAGCCCCCCCACCCCCCCACCCAGCCCCTCCCCACCCTCCCCTCTCCACCCAGCCCCTCCCCATCCAGCCCCCCCACCCCCCACCCAGCCCCTCCCCACCCTCCCCTCTCCACCCAGCCACTCCCCACCCAGCCCCCCCACCCCCCACCCAGCCCCTCCCCACCCTCCCCTCCCCACCCAGCCCCTCCCTCCCGACCCAGCCCATCCCTTCCCTCCCCACCCAGCCACTCCCTCCCCTCCCCACCCAGCCCCCCCCACCCAGCCCCTCCCCACCCTCCCCTCTCCACCCAGCCCCTCCCACCCAGCCTCACCCTTCCCACCCAGCCCATCCCTTCCCTCCCCACCCAGCCACTCCCTCCCCTCCCCACCCAGCCCCCCCCACCCCCCACCCAGCCCCGCCCCACCCTCCCCTCTCCACCCAGCCCCTCCCACCCAGCCTCACCCTTCCCACCCAGCCCCCCCCCTCCCCACCCAGCCCCTTCCTCCCCACCCAGCCCTTCCTCCCCACCCCTCCCTCCCCACCCAGCCACTCCCTCCCTGCACGACGGACACAAGAATCTCCTGTGGGCTGGTATAGCCAAGAGGTTCCTACCAGTAAAACCTTTTTAGAATCGCTCTTTGGTTTTTTCGGTAAACATTACGTAGAAAGAAAAAATACATTTAATAATAGCATACGACGTTTCGATTGCAACACAAGCAATCATCATCAGGTACAAATGAAAGAGAAAACAAACCGAGCAAACTTAGAAATATAATGCGATACAACACAGAGAGTCGGCTAACATAACAGTCAACACCCTACCTGGTTGATTACATTCTTCCAAAGATTGCTAAATTTCAGAGAGTGACAATGCAACACAGAGAGTTGGTCAACACACAATTAACTCGTAGCCTGGTTGATTACGTTCTTCCAAAGATTGCTAAATTAGAAGTCAAGTGTGAACATTTTGAGAGAGAGAGACAAGACACAGAGACACGGTTCAATTGCCACAGAATCGGGGCGCGTGAAGCCCCTTCGGCCCCCCCTGCCCCCCTGCCCCCCCCACCTGCCCCTCGCCCCCCCCCACCCGCCCCTCGGCCCCCCCCACCCGCCCCTCGGCCCCCCCCACCCGCCCCTCGGCCTCCCTTCAACCCCCCCCTCCCCCCGGTAGCCCCGCCCCCCACGTCACGTGACCGCCGCCATTTCCCCCCGCCAGCTCCTACACCGCCGCCGCCGCCATGTTGTCCGCACGCCTCGCCGCTTCGCTCCTGCGCGGAGTTTCCAGGCAGCCGCACGTAAGCGTCGCTCCTCGGCTCGTTCGGCGTCGACTAATTCCATTGCGCGTCGTTGTCGTGGTTATTATGCATCGTTCGTCGCGTCCGCGTCGTTGGCAGGTTTAATAGAAATCGCGGTTGCCCTCCCTCCGCCCTAAATTATTTAGGCGACCCCAGGCTGCAGCCAGGCCCCCATTGATTCAGCGTTGCAGCGGGAGAGTTTTTAATTGTTTAGTTTAAGTTTGTTCTCGTTGCTTCGGCTGAGGCGTGCATTTAAATAGTGCGCTCGCTGTCTCGTTGCGATGTCAGGTAAGTGGTCGGAAGCGCGCTTCTGAGAGGGGCTGTTGTCATTTGCGAGTGAAGGTCATTGACTACCTAGGCCTTGTACAGTACTGTACAGTACCGTTACTATCCCTTGCAATCACACTAGTTTTAATCAACAACCCTTTGTCAATCCTCTATGTCATGGGTGTTGTTTGACCATACTTCACCACGCTGGTCCATTGCGGCTTGGTTGAATGGGCGGCTTCAGATATACCAACTCGCCACTGACGTTTGCAGTGGCCGGGAATGGAACTTTGGGATTGTAGAGCGGTCCGCTAACCACTTACTTTGCAAGTACAGCACTGTTAAGGTCATTGGCTACTAATCTCTTGTTCTATACTCTACCTCGTTAATGGAACATTTAAATGTCCTGTAAAGCAGGTGTTTTATATTGTTGCTTAGTTTTATGTGAAAGTTACAGTTTTAGATATTGATTGTACATGTCATTCAGTATCGACCTCTGCAAATAGTTACTGGCATAACAGTCAAACATATTATTGAACCCTCGGATCTGCCAAGATTGTCAATTTGCACATTTGGAGTTTTGTAAACATGTGATTAATTTTGGTCATCTTGTTTCAGGTCGCAAGGAATGCCTTGGCGGCAGGTTTTGTGGCCAGCAGAAATGTCCACACTTCCATGCCCTCCCCTGTGCAAAAGACTGGTAATAAACACAATACAGTACATAATGCATGCTTAATTATTTTACTCTATTGATGAGAGTGGTGAATTATGCGAGGTGTGAGTAGTGTTCACTGTTGATGTGAGTGACTTTTTGGCATGTTCCTGAGTGAGTTGGGACTGGGTTACTCGGGGTTTTATTGTCACCTCTCGCTTTGAGTGGAATTAACTGTCTCGGATCAATTGAGTGACTGGCTTTAACTGATACACGATAGATTAAGTGAGTGACTGGCTTTAACTTATGAGCTCTGGGATTAACTGGACGACTGGCCTGAACTGAGAGACTGCGTTGGTCTGAGCGGGTTTCATTGAGTGAACCTGAGCGGCAACGATTTTATTGAATCCCAGGCACTGCCGAGGTGTCGTCCATCCTCGAGGAAAAGATCATGGGCGCGGACATGTCGGCCGAGCTGGAGGAGACTGGGCGCGTGCTGTCCATCGGCGACGGTATCGCCCGTGTCTACGGCCTCAAGAACATCCAGGCTGAGGAGATGGTGGAGTTTTCCTCAGGCCTGAAGGTGAGCCTTGGCCTGATATGGTTTTGTAAGGCAAGGGACTCCAATCCTTGCTATGGTTGCCTCTCCCCTGGACTGAAGTCTTACCAGATGTTTGGGTACACTCAAATATATTACTAAATAAACAAAAAAAGGACTAGATTCATTGCAATGTTTTCCATCGGCATTTTTTAAAGAAGGCTTTCACTTGGCTAAGCAATTAATTTGCTGATAATTTGGTGGTGGTGGCGCACAACCACAAACAATAAAAAACATCAGTAATAACAGGAAGTATGGCCCGTCTTCATAAATAGACAATCGAGGTAGAATGCTCTACCAGGTGGATTACTACCAGCAGGGGTTGACAAGAATCACCATTGACGTGTTAGCTAGGCAGTGGCTAAACGATCAATGGCTTACCTTATATGATTGCCACAGCACACTCCATGTAGCCTGGCCCACCACGATTCTGCCAATCCCACAATTAAATTCGGAATTGTATTTAACTGTAATAACAAAACCTAATTCCATTCGCGTAAACGTGACAGTCTACCAGATCTACTGTAAACAACTACTGTCGCACCATCAAATGACCCTGCTGTCCTCTGGCATTGGTTCTCACGTGCAGGGCATGGCGCTGAACCTGGAGCCAGACAACGTGGGTGTGGTGGTGTTCGGTAACGACAAGCTCATCAAGGAGGGCGACGTAGTGAAGCGTACGGGCGCCATCGTGGACGTGCCCGTCGGAGCGGAGCTTCTGGGACGCGTGGTCGATGCCCTCGGCAACGCCATCGATGGCAAGGTGCGTGTGTGCATATGTGTGTGCGTGTGTGCATATGTGTGTTCATTCAGTTTGTGCCAACTGACAGTGGGGCGGTCGGGTGTGTTAATCCCACTGCTGGGTGAGGGCCTTCCGCTCTCGTGTGGGTTGTGGGTTTTTTTTTATTTTACCCTACTTTATTATGCTGGTCAGTAAAGGTTTGTGAAGGCGAGGAGCATAGATGTGAGAGCATATGTATACAGTACAGCAATGGATTTTTGCTGGAGTGCCCCTGCTGCGCACAACGCAATTTTTTTCAGGTCACGTCTTCTTTTAAATTGCTTATGGAGGTGTGTTCAGCACGTAGTTGGACGGTCCAATAGTGCAGATCCTGTTGCTAAACTTCCTCTGTCACTCCGCCAGGGCCCCCTGGGAGCCAAGCTGCGTCGCCGAGTCGGACTCAAGGCACCCGGTATCATCCCTCGCATCTCAGTGCGCGAGCCCATGCAGACCGGCATCAAGGCCGTGGACAGCCTGGTGCCCATCGGCCGTGGGCAGCGTGAGCTCATCATTGGTGACCGGCAGACCGGGTAAATGCAGCGATGGCTGTAGCCACCTCTTGCTCACTTTTAGGTTAAACAGTCCAGTTTTAATGCATGTTATTGCTTAAAATTACGTTGTAATTGAGGGGCCTTTAAATTGTCATAAACTGCTGACAACTTGTGCGCTTAGCACCTTTAGATAAATGCCAAACTGGTAGTTGTGAAAAGTCCTTTAATATCAGAAGGGGCAAGAGCATTTAGTTATTATGCAACCTGTCTCTACAATGCTGGCATAACATATGAATAAAACAATATATATGATTATTTTTTAGCTGGATTCAATTGGATAAGGGCTATTCTAAAGTTCTCTGGACTGTTCTGCATGGAGAGTGCTATATAAAATAAAAGCACATTGTATTATGGTTTTTACTTGAATTAATTACGGTGGCATTTTTCTTCTGCAACTCACACATTTGTGGGGGAAATTTTGAGGCTGTCTAGGGGTAAATACTGGATGAAAAAGTCACAGGATAGGCACAGACGTGATGTATTAACTGATTTTGTTGACTGGTAAATGCACCGGCTGTACTCCCTGCTACGCCACCGAACACTGCTATTGTTTTTTTCGCCGTGCTACTTGCCGTTCTATTGTTGCTGGAGAATTTACCGGTGCCAAGGTGGATTGACAGTTGACACGTTTGACCGTACCTGTTCTCCCCACAGGAAAACTGCCATCGCCATTGACACCATCATCAACCAGAAGCGCTTCAACGATGGCACGGATGAGAAGAAGAAGCTCTACTGCATCTACGTCGCCATCGGGCAGAAGCGATCCACTGTGGCACAGCTGGTCAAGAGGCTCACAAATGCGGGTACGAAGCGGGTAGACACCGATAGTGCTGCAGTGCGCAAATTAAAAGAGAAAATTGGGCAGGGCAAGCGCCAAGGGGGAGATTGATGTTAGGACAAACATTAAAGTTGGTGCCAGTGTCTGGCCTTTTTTGTTCGTGTTAAAGCAAGAGTTTGCTGAGCTAGTGTGGTTATAGGTAAGGCTACCGGATGGTTGGCTATAGTAGTTCTCAAGTTAAGCTTTATTTTATTTATTGTTCACTTCCCACTTCTGAGGCATACGGCGCCATATCCTTGTAAAATCTTTGCTGTTTCCTGATACATATATTACTGTAATCACTTTCAAATTTGTCAGCATGGGTTCTGCTCAAATTAATGCGAGGCGGTGCTAATTTTTTTGGCGAACTTGAGCCAGCAGTTGAAATAGTACATTTTCATATCAGAGGTGAGTTACATTGTAATACAATCATTTTTAGCACAAACCAGTAATAATTATTTTGACACCAGAGCAATGATGGAGTAGCTTCACATTTGTGTTGAGCCGGTACAGATGAGAATATGTCTCTGGTAGTCCCGGAAGCGTTTCCTAATTCTCCACTTTGTTATGCGAATAAACTTTTAATTTGGGAGTCAATAAAACATTTGCCATTTAGAGGGAAGTTTAACGCGTCATCTTCTGAGGTAACCAACCATCGTTTAAATTTGGGCCTTCCACCACTAGCTGAGAGCTACCAATAAAGAATAATTATGGTTGCATTGCTCATTTGCACATGGAGACAACCGATTAGAAATGTTCATGTTATGCAGAGACTTGCCTCTACAACATAATGTCTATAGATGTCCTCTTCTGGCTTGGTGCCACCACCAACAGAAGAGCTGCTCTGCTTTGTATTTTTGAACATTACATAGTGTTCGATAATTGTTTTTTTACCCTTCTATCTGGCAACAAAACTGACACCTTTTTTACAAGGAGTCATGTTTGCATAGACCACAATACCTGCAGTCATAATTCAAACAAAAAACATAACTCTGATAATGTATGCACTGTCCTTGAAGTTGATTGGTCCACACCCGAGACAGCTTTCCTTAGAGCCTAGTCTCACATGGGTTGGACCAGATGACGCCAAAAGGCGCACAACTCAAAGACAATGCACCATCAGAGAAGGGTAAAAAACCAATTATATTTATTACTGACAAATGAGGTTCCAATGGTACATAATGTTCGTTAACTGTGGTGGTCATTCTACGTGTGTCCCTCGCAGACGCAATGCGCTACACCATTGTGGTGTCGGCTACTGCCTCTGATGCTGCTCCCCTTCAGTACCTGGCTCCCTATTCTGGCTGCTCCATGGGCGAGTTCTTCCGTGACAATGGAATGCACGCGCTCATCATCTACGACGATCTCTCCAAGCAGGTGCAATTTTGCAATCAAAGAACAGAGTAATGCTGTCTCCATGCTTCAGACGAGTATTGATTGGCAAGGTGACCATCTCAATTGGTGGCTCTAGGCCAGTGATTGAAATTCCTGACAATTACTGAATTGAGATCTTCCCATCAGGAGATGTACTTGTCCTATTGGCCCTGGAGGGGGTGATAAATTTCATAGACCTGTCTAGCCAGAATTTAAACATCCAATTTTGAGTTTAGCACTCTGACCACAGCTCCACTTGGTTGGCAGTGGGTTAGTTTAGTGGTTAGGGTAATCCCATTGATGTGCCACCATACTCCACCATTGCTTCCATCTTCTGCCAGATCGCACAGGTGAAAACCTCTAAGTTTGTAATCGGTCTCATTCCCACCACCATTTAACTTGAGTCTTCCCCATTTCGTATCTTTCAGTGGGCTTGTGGGCATGTTTATATAGCTCCCTGATGTGTTCTGCTCGTAGTTTGGCACGATGTCTGACTCGTGTTGATTCATGTGCTTGGGAGCTTCTTCAGGAACTGTATGAAGTAGTTAACATTCTACTATATAGACTTTCCAGCTACATCTAGTGTTTTGTAATGGGCTGCCGATGTTGTTTATTCACATCCTTGATTCCCAGCCGAGTGAGTTTCGGAGTTTACATGATCCACCACCAACCCTCTGTGTGTGTGTGTGCCCCGCGCCCCCAGGCTGTTGCTTACCGCCAGATGTCGCTGCTGCTGCGTCGCCCCCCTGGCCGTGAGGCCTACCCCGGCGACGTGTTCTACCTGCACTCCCGTCTGCTGGAGCGCGCGGCCAAGATGAACGACAACTTCAAGGGAGGCTCCCTCACCGCTCTCCCTGTCATCGAGACCCAGGCCGGAGACGTGTCTGCCTACATCCCCACCAACGTGATCTCCATCACCGACGGGCAGGTGTGTGTCGGAGTGTCTGCCCCACCTCTTCGTGGCATGCTCTGTGTTGGTTCGAAATAGCTGCTTAATGCTATTTTTAAGCTGCCTGGCCTGTCGCGCCACATGAAGGTCTGAGTCATCTCGGATGCAATCATGCCCCATTTTGTCCACGCTTGGCGAATTTTGCACCCCCTTTTAAGAACTTTAATTATCTTGAAATATGAAGCTTTGACTCTTCACAAGGGTTTAGTGAGGTTAAATATGGGATCTCTGCGTATAGCATGCTTGCTTTCTTTGCAAAAGACACATTGGTCCTTCCTCGCTTTTTTAACATTGCCGTGGCTTTGTGGCATCCATTGCAGATTTTCCTGGAAACTGAGCTCTTCTACAAGGGCATCCGTCCGGCCATCAACGTGGGTCTGTCCGTGTCTCGCGTCGGTTCTGCTGCTCAGACGAAGGCCATGAAGCAGGTTAGTAGACGAACACTGTGAGTGTGTGGCTGATCAGCTTTGAAGGCGCATGGTAACGCATAATTACAATGTAGAGACTTCTCAATGGGAGTATTGCTGTCATGGAGTCGTCTGAAAAAATAAGAACATGTTTTACCCTTTCTGGCAATAAAACAGGAGGCGTTAAGATGTTCAAATGGATTCCAAGAACACAGGATGAGATGTTACTATCCTATTACTATCCTTTGTGCAAACACCAACTAGAAACCTTTTGCAAGGAATCATGTCTGCATTAACCACACGTACTTGTGGTGAACATGCAAACAAACATGCTTTGATTATCGCTTTGTCTTTGAAACTGATTGGCCTACACCAGAGACAGTCTTCGTTAGGGCCTAGTCTCACCAGTGTCAGACCAGAGAATGCCAAAAGGCGAACAGCACCGGGAAAAGGTCCCATTGTGGAGTAGTCTACACGAGAAAAAGGCAGCCGAGCGCTGCGTTTGGTCACCTTTATCTTCCCACGACTGATGTTTTCACTTGCCTCAACATAGCGGATACAATTTGATATACAGACTCTTTGGTTCTTTCGGTAAAGTCACGTAGGTAGAAAAAATAATAGATCACGACGTTTCGATCGCAACACAAGCAATTGTCATCAGGTGAGACAACTACAGCAAGAAAACTGCGGAAGTAGGCGAGAGAGCTGCCGTGACGAGAGTATGGATTCCTGCAGTCATGAAAGCTTCAAATCAAGATTTATATACAGAATCAGGAATTGAGTGCAGTCATTGGGATTATAGTGCATTTTGCTTTTTTGCTAACCGGTGTGCCATCACTTCCCCACAGGTTGCAGGATCCATGAAGCTGGAGCTGGCTCAGTACCGTGAGGTCGCTGCCTTTGCTCAGTTCGGCTCTGACCTGGACGCGTCCACGCAGCAGCTGCTGAACCGTGGCGTCCGCCTTACAGAGCTGCTCAAGCAGGGGCAGTACGGTGAGCGGTGAAGCTTGGCTGACGTGTACGCCTCTTGTCAGAGCCTCCGATTAGCACGGTTGAAAGAGGTTCAGCATATGTACATGATCACTTTTTTGCGTTTGCTTGATGCCCAAATCACTCCACCACTAAATTGCAACCTTTACATTTCACTGTCTTATTTGTTACAATAAGGGGCAGCCCTCAACAATCTGACGTCTGTTGGGCAGCTCCCCACGGTCGCATGTAGGGGATGGCACGCACACAAAAATGTTGTGAAATCAGCGTAGCAAATGGTCTTTAGCCCTACACTTCTATTAAGCCTGATCCAAGGCAATATGGATGTATAACTACAATGCGGGAAACAAGCAGTCGGTTCACAGTACTTGTTCTTGCACGATATGCATGTGCTTAATGCCCAATTGCGTGACGATTGTTAATTTGAAATGAATGCGGAGGTAAGTGGATAGATTAGAGGCTCGTAGAAAGGCAAAGCATTGACCCACAGTCATTGGTGACCAGACTCCACCATCTCACATTTCACTTGCGAACTCAGTTTCATCATTGATGGCTGAAATTCAGATTTAAACCCAAAATTGATGTCAACTTATTGCTCTAATATGGTCTTAATAATTTTTGTAAACATTGTACGTGCTTTGCTCATTACTTGTCCTCAACCCATCCCTTGTGCCCCCCTGATTCCTGCATGTTCCCCTTTTCCCGCTGGCAGTGCCCATGGCTATCGAGGAGCAGGTGACTGTGATCTACGCTGGCGTGCGTGGCTACCTTGACAAGCTGGAGCCAAGCAAGATCACCAAGTTTGAGAGCACCTTCCTGGCGCACATCCGCAGCCAGCAGCAGGAGGTCCTCACCACCATCCGGTAGGCATCAGTTCTATATATCTAAAACTGCGTTACGTAATCAATAATTTACGAGGCATGTGCCAAATTTTGTGATGTAGCCAGGGTCACAGGCTCCCCTCGCCGTACGAATGGAAGTGAGGGGCACTAGAGCGTGTTTCTCACATTGCTAAGAGGGCATTTTAGTGGTGCACCTAAAAGTGGAATGAGTGATGAAATTGTATTGAAGGTTTATTAAAATACCCAAACAAGGCATGTATTCTATAGAACTGTACAGAAACCATTTTGAAAAGAATAAGTACACCAACATAAATGTGTTAAATATGTCAACAAGCAATGGGAGCATGAAAGAAAAACTGAAAGTTTATTTAAAAATTTCAAATCGTAACCTTGTGGAGACAGATTGAACCACATTAATTTTTCTTATCAATACATTTTCCTTAAGTTGCAGTTCAGTACACACAGCCCAGCTGTTTCGCTCTTAATACACTGTTTTGTGGGTTGCGTCTTTAACCTTTGTGCGCGCGCATGTTTGATTGCAGCAACGAAGGAAAGATCTCCGATGAAACTGACGCTAAGCTGAAGAGCATCGTCCAGACTTTCCTCTCCACCTTTGAGGCGTAGACTCCGCCAACGAGAAGGAGTCTAACCCAAGGATATTTTGCCTCTGGGGCAACACGGTGCAGCTTTCAGTGTTCATGCGTGCGTGTATACGCGCTTACACAACAAGGATGTGACAATTCATTCATTACAGTTCCACACTCGGTGGTGCACGCGATTAACCTAGCGTGTAAAAAGTTAATGGGTTCCTCGTTTGTGTTGAATAGGCTTGGTGCATGAGAACTGTAGCCACTGTGTATTCCACGTGCACCGTATATACAAACAATGGATTTGTGACCTCGAGTCTTAATGACCGAATCGTGAAGGGGTGAATTGTTATATTCCTGTTGCACATCTGCGCGCCCGCATGCTGCACCCTCATGGCTGACATTCAGATACCAGACCAACCCAGGCCAATTCACACCAGGGACTCGAATTTTGCAAAAGCGAAAAGGTATTTTCTGCCAATATTTGGTGGAGAAAACAACCTATTTGCACCATTTCTGTCAGGCTGGCTATTTTCCACCAAAACTTGATGGGAACGACGTTTCCGCCAACACTTGGCTTGAGTTGCAAGTGTAAAGCTACCAAGACGCGATATGATGAGTGGACGTGCGTTTATGAGCAATCGCATTTAGCAGCGTGCTTTCCAGTGGTATAATTCAATGGTTAAGAGTGGTCACATTGGCAATGCTTACCCTGTACTGTTAACCTGTCTTTCAAATGCTATCCTCTCGCTTCAACCTTTGGGCAGATCGTGTTATTGGACTGTATTGACCCTATCGGTTTTGCTGCTCCCCCAACGCTTGTAGCGTTTAAATATTTCCCAATTCATTTCTCCTCTTTTGGGGTCTTTTCACTTTTTAACAAAGGTATTGGGATTGTTTTGTCTTGCGCGATCGCAGAAGCAGCCGCACAATGAGGAACGTTGAGGCTAGTCCGTGTCTCCCTGCTCTAGTGAGCATTGGGGCAGCACTCGCCTCTGGCGATGACCCTTAGTCCACATTCTCACAGTGTAGTACTTATTTGTATCCACTCCAGGTGGGTTGATGGGCTAAGCACCACCCGACGGATGTAATTGTGTGTTGATACTTTGTGAATTGAATGCTGGGTCTGTAAACCGATGGTGGATGGAAAAGATACAATTTTGTATATTAAGCCAGCTTTTAGAATTGCTTCTACATCGCTACGATCGTGTTGGAAAAGTGTGCAAGGCGGCAAATGAAAAGCATGCTCATTTATCCCTGGATGTTGTGATTCACTGGAGGTGGATATTTGATTTTGTTTTGTTCTGCCCATTGGTCTTCTGGGAACTAACGCATCAGTCTTGGTCTGGAGTCGTGTTGCACTGTTGCAATAAAATGTGTGTAAATTCACAACCGTCTTTTGGTTATGCAGCAAAAAAATTGCCGTTGATTGTGAAGGATGTGTGTGACAACAGTGCTTTTGGGGTGTTGTGATAGAGAACTGTCATTGTAAAGGTTAAGAGGTCATGACAGGCATTGCCCTTTGGTGGCTTCACATTTTTCCATTGCTTCTGTTAGATTCTGTAGAGCAGGGGTCCCCAACCCCCGGGCCGCGTACCGGTCTGTGGCCTGTTGGGAACCGGGCCGCACTCAGGAGGTGAGCGGTGGGCGAGCGAGCGAAGCTTCATCTGTATTGACAGCCGCTCCCCATCGCTCGCGTTGCCGTCTAAGCTCTGCCTCCTGTCAGATCAGCGGCGGCATTAGATTATCACAGGAGCGCGAACCCTCCTGTAAACTGCGCATGCGAGGGATCTAGGTTGCGCGCTCCTTATGAGAACTCGGCATCCGACACGTATTTTAGGCCGCGCGTAGCCCGCCCATTATTTTATTTACCACTTATGTCCGCGCACTGCGCACTTGTCACAGTTGTGGTAAGCCCACAAGCTAACCCCTAGTAGCCAAAATGAGTAAAAAAACAAACGTCGCTGGAGAGCTTCGGTCCATGAAAAAATTGTCTTCCACGGAACCTGTCCCTGGTGCCAAAAAGGTTGGGGACCGCTGCTGTATAGGATGGAGTGTTTCCTGCTAGCACCCGTCGGTTTTAAACTAAAATACGTGTTTATTTTACCAAGTAAGGCCCACTGAGCTATGTAGCTTTATTAGAAGCGACCTGGCCATAAATGATAGCCCAACAAAGTGGCTTATGTGGAAATGTATCGTAGCCAAATACTCAATATGTTTGTAAATGTGGAGGGGAAAAGCGTAGCACCTGGAGAAAAATCCACAACCACGGGGAGACCATGCAAACTCCAAATATACAGGCATCAGGGTTGGGATTACACCCACAACCTATATACCAGGCGAGGTCGGTCACATCTCCACCGCGCCGCTCCAAGTTTTCTCCCGAGTGCTCCAATTTCCTCCCACGTAAACGCTCAATTGGCCGATAACGCCGTCATATACAGAGGGCTGCAGAGCTTAGGCAATTGCTGGCACCGGCTCGCCGAGTGTCTGGTTCCTCACGCCTCTTGAGTAATTCTCTCTTTGAGACGGAGTGAAGAATGTGCACATTACAAAATTAGCTCTGAATAGACAATGGGGTGTTTGTGAAGGAAAAAAAACGCAGATTAAGGCACCGCAGCCCTGAATTAGCCCAGTATTTTGAGAGCACGCCTTGTGTGCTTGCCGTTCCTGAATGTGGTACAGCTGCTGTTTAATTTATACAATAATGGCTAAAACGAGTCATCGCCCTGGTGTGACCCTGTTCCACTTGCAATATCAAATGTGTGAGCTGTTTACGAAACTGCACGGGAAACCCAAAAAAACTGGGTGTTTTTCTTCAGCGGCGGTAAACCAAGATGCAGTCAGCATCGACTTTATGGTGCACGTTAATTGCCTCAATAAACCAGTGTCCTTGTATTTAAACCTGTTTTCATACTCTAGAGCCTATATTTACCCCGTTAGCACAGTGAATGGCTGTTATGTGTACAGCTGGCGAGAGCACAGGCTTAAGAAAATTAACCCGTAAAAACAAAGTTTTTCACTATAAATCCTTTATATGCGTGGCGGCTCGAGTCCTCTGGTCCTCTGGCTTGAGATGGCTGCCACCTATGGGTCAGATGAATGGCTGGCACCATTAAGCAATTGGTAATTAAATATAATTTATTTTTTCCTAAAAAGTGTAAAAAAAATTAATTTTTTTTCACGAAAATACATTGTCACGCACAACGAGTCTGTGTGCAAAATGTCAGCTCGATTGGATCATGGGAAATGGGTTAAAAAACGACCGAAAGATTTGCAAGCAAGCAAGTGAACTTAATATAAAGCATTTAAAAACTAGCGATGCTGTGCTGCCATGCTTAGGAGGAGGGTAACTTAGCTATGTAGTAGTGTGCAGCATGTGCAACTGCACCCGATGCATCCAGTTGCCAGACGAACATTGCACAAGGGGGTCCCAATTTTATTATCTTATACCAGGGCCCATACCAGCCACGTTACGAGACTGACGGAGGAGGATGGCGAGTGATCACATTTACACACTCTTAGGTTTTTTCGGTAAAGTCACGTAGGTAAAAATAAATAATAAAAGTTAAAATAATAAAAATAAAATTATATATAGTGACCTAAGAGTATGAATCCTTGCAGTCATGAAAGCTTCAAATCTAGGATCACATTTGCATCACCGTGAGGCGTGCGCGAGACTTCACAACAACCAGTGGTTTTTGAGATGGCAGCAGAATAAAAAAGAAATATTGATGATCTATGTGTAATGTATGTTTGAGTATTGCTCGTAGACTGCCTCTGGGTGTGATGATTTCTTGGAGCAGACTTCACTGGTTTTTAACCCGATTTAATCAGATCTTTGAGGCTAGCAAAGCGTAATTTTGGGATGGGTGACCATCAGCCACAAACAGGTTTTCATAGGGCCGCGGGGCTAGGTGGTATACGGTACAGAAAAGTCGTTTTTGTACTCAACTTTAACGTTCCTACATCCACGCTCCTCATCGTCACCAAACAGCACCGACCAGAATAGTGAAATTTTGTCAAAAAAACACAACCGACACAAATTGCACAGAGGGGAGACCTTCATCCAGCAGTGGCTGTATTAATAAAATAATAATAATATATAAACCGTCGCCTCCTCCCACGAGCATCGTATGTTTAATTCTAGATTTGAAGCTTTCGTGACTGCAATGATTCATACTCTTAGTTCTTTCGGTAAAGTCACGTAGGTAAAAAATTTAATTAAAATAAATTTTAATTTATTTTTATTAATTTTAATTTCATTTTTTACCTACCTGACTTTACCGAAAGAACTACGAGTATGAATCGTATGTTTAGTTTGTTGCATTTCCCCCGCACCTCCGATTAGCACGGTTGGCTACGTACGGTGCAAAAGAACTTCAACATACAGTACAGTACATCCATTGACGCCTGTCCCGGTTCTCCCAGGGTAGTTCTCCTCTCGAAGCAGCTATCCTCGGAAGTTTGTAGAAGTTTTCAGTTTAAAAATCCAGCGCGGTCACTTGTTTATACAGGACGCCACTCAGCACGATGCATTTCCAAATTACTCTCCCCTCTTGCAGTGTCGTCGTGGGTTCGATCCCGACCCTGACGCCTGCTGCTGTATATTTGGAGGTACCGGTGTCTCTCTCCCCGTGGTCATGTGGATTTTTATCCGGGTCCTCCGGTTTTTCCCTCCAAATGTATGATCAACATCACGGCGTTTAGACGATTTGGCTGCTATACATTTCCACATGGTGAGCCAATTCATTCTAGATTTGAAGCTTTCGTGACTGCAAGGATTCATACTCTTAGGTTTTTTCGGTAAAGTCACGTAGGTAAAAAATAAAATTAAAAGTTCATAAAAGTAATGATTTATTATTTTATTTCCATTATTACTTTTATTAACTTTTAATTACATTTTTTACCTACGTGACTTTACCGAAAAAACCTAAGAGTGTGAGCCAATTCATTTGCGGCCAGGTCGCTTTTGAAAGAAAAAGCTAACATCTACGTGGGCTTTACCTGCTAAAATAAAATATACAGTTTAGTTATGGGATATTCTTCTTCCCATTATGCCTCGCTTTTTGTTGTATCTAAGAGGTGGCAACCTTAGCCCACCCAGACCTCCGGTGCTTTTCTCTGGGTCCCCATACAGCACATCATCACCTCCCCTCCTGAGCACCATCTCTCTCCCCCACTCGAGCTCATCTCTTAACCTCCTTGACATCCTCTGCAGATCGACTGATCATATTCTGAGCACGTCTTCAAATTTCCAGACCCCCCTTCCAACCCTCGTTAGCATCCATCGCTCTAACCTTTCACATCATCTCAAACCTCCGTGACCTTTGCCCCTGCCATGATGTCGTCTTCCCAGCAGCCTTGTGCTGCCCGTACGAACCTTGCCCAACAATTTACGACACAGTGGCGTTCCTATCATCGGTGTTGGAGCTCTCGAAAGTTTGCCCGGTAACAGTCTGCCACCTAATACAGCCAGCAACAACACCTACGCCCCCACCCCGACATCATTCCTGGCTGTGGAGGCCACTGCTTTTGTTTACTGATGGATTTCTTCCACCCCCCCTCACCTCTGCGTCACGAGAGAGGAATGCGATGAGATAATTGGGAAATCTGTTGGCTCCTTGGCTCCCGCCCCCACCGGCTGGTAGCTCACTCCCCACTCCACTGAAGCTGCGTTTCACAACAAAGCTTTGCCCAGCAACTGCTGGCAGGCATCCATCACACTGTGTAACACTAATTTTGTTCCTGGGTACTAAGCGTTATTTTTTTAATTGCTTGTCTAAAAAGTATAGAAAATGGATATTATTCCCCGCAAACTTTGCTATTGTAACCAGGACTTTAAGTGAACGAAAGACACAAATGCACACGTTTTCTCATTGAAAATCGGTAAATTTCAAAGTATCACTATCATGGTCACAAAAATAAAAGTTTGCGGGGAATAATAGCCATTTTCTGTACTTTTGAGGCATAAGCAATTAGGAAATAACACTTACTACCCAGGAACAAAAAAAAACATGTTTTTGGTTACACAGTGATCATCAACTCCTGACTCGACGAAAACAAAGATGACTCTCTCGCCTCAACATGGGCGCGTCACCCCGGCAGATATTTGAACAAAATATCGACGTTCCGATCGCAGTTCGAGTGCAGCGTCGTAGTGTTCGCCAGTCTCTTATTAAAGCGGAGCACAGCGCCACTTATCCATTCGCCACTTATCTGCCACGATCAATTTACCGCTCCGAGCCGGCGCAAGAGTGGTTGGGTTTGCGCACTTCATGGGAAGAATTGTATCTCACAGTACATTGTCTTTAGTGATGTATTTTTTACGCCACTAACAAAATGGTGTTTTAATGTTCCGGGATGAAGTACCGATTTTAAAGAACCGCTACCTTGAAAAGATGACCCATATCTAACAGGGTGCCTGCCTATAAATGTGTCGTTAAATCTGTCAGTTCGCCAGCATTAATTTAAGCGAAGTCTGACTGCTGCTAATCCACTGAATGTCGAAACGGATTCAGGGATTTCTTGTATTAAACCAATGCTACTGAAAATCTGAATCGGAATATGTATTTATATTGGAGGAATCCGATGCGCTATTAAGTTGTTTTTTCCCCAGAAGGCAGTGTGCCCGATGGGATGTGTAACAACAACCCGAATGGCGAATCACCATTTGATACTCGGCTCAGCCAAAGAAAGCTAACTCCGGCTAAACTAAAGTAGTGTATTTTTAAATCCTTTATATTAAGTTCGCTTGCTTGCTTACGACCATGCAAATCTTTCGGTCGTTTTTTAACCCACTTCCCGTGATCCAATCGAGCTGACATTTTCCACACAGACTCATTGTGCGTGACAATTAATGTTCGTGAAAATTTTTTCCAAAATTTTACACTTTTTAGGACAAAAATATTATATTTAATTACCAATTGCTTAATGGTGCAATGCAATCATCTGACCCATAGGTGGCAGCCATCTCAAGCCAGAGGACGAGAGGACTCTAGCCGCCACGCATATAAAGGATTTATAGTGAAAAACTTTGTTTTTACGGGTTATACTTGTTATTTTGCCAGGTAAGGCCCAATGAGCTAAATAGCTATTTTCAAAAACTACCTGGCCATAAATGATAGCTCAACGAAGTGGCTTATCGCGTGGAAATGTATAGCAGCCAAATACTCTTAAAGCATGTTTCTAAATGTGGAGGGGAAAACCAGGAGGAACCCGACAAGAATCCATGCGACCACGGGGAGCGAGACACACGCAAACTTCAAATATACAGACATCACCATTGGATCCTCATTTGCCAGTAAAAAATATGATAATTGGTTTTGTACCCTTCTATCTGGCAACAAAACTGACACCTTTTTACAAGGAGCCATGTTTACATAGACCACAATACCTGCAGTCCTAATGCAAACATCTGGTCGAACCCATGTGAATCTGGTCCAACCCATGTGAGACTAGGCTCTAAGGAAAGCTGTCTCGGGTGTGGACCAATCAACTTCAAGGACAGTGCACATTATCAGAGTTATGTTTTTTGTTTGCATTATGACCGCAGGTATTGTGGTCTATGTAAACATGACTCCTTGTAAAAAGGTGTCAGTTTTGTTGCCAGATAGAAGGGTAAAAAACCAATTATCAATTATTATACAGACATCGTCAGGGTCGGGATCTAACCCACGACCTCCCGTATACCGATCGTGACAGGACAGAGTCTCGTGATATTTAAAAACTGGTCCACCCGGAGTAAAATCCTATGAACCGAGTGCTCAACCGAAGCTTCGGGTGTATTGACAAAGGAATGCGAACCTCGCCTGGACTGGAGGAGGGGGATGGGTGAGCAGCTAGCTGCCTCAGGCAGGTATTATCTTGTTCCCTGTTCAATTCCAGCCAGTTCTTGCAGGCGGTTAAAGATGGAAAGACACCCAATCCAAGGTCACGAGTTGTGATTCTTTGTTGGTGCCAATTCCTGCTCGTGTTTCAAAGGGGAATCTCCGTTCAAAGATGCGCAAACCCACGGATGAGTGCGAGGGTCGTGGAGTTTATTTGACCATGCTTCGCCAAGCTGCTCAGTGGTGAAAGGAGCATTGAAGTACGGTACACCAATACATTGTCGTCATCATATTATCTGGAAATGTTTCAATCATCTTGATCATGCACAACAAAGTGAGGAAAGTTATCGTAAGTCAACAACTTCTGGACAAAATTCAGAATTTGTTTTCGTGGATAAATTGAAGGCTTCGAATAACGAGGGTCGCAGATTTGGGGGCTTGGGTTTGCGTGTACTAAGATCCTATCATTGCGAACAGCACTTGTTCCAATAGTCTGTCGAAGAGGCTTTAATGGGTGGTGTGTACCTGCATCGAACCCGGCGACCCGAGTTCAATTCCCGCTCACGGCCATACACACCGGTGACGATTATCTGAACCAGTCGTGGGCCTCCTCCTAGGTCCGACTCAGCCTACAAATGAGTACCGGGTGCGGTCTGTAAAACATCGCCACGTTGGGAGACAAAGGCGTCCGGGCGTGGTGTTGGCCACCCACCCCCTCGTCTGCCGTGTCGACCTTAATAGGTGCTTGCTAACAACACTTGCCCCAACAGTCTGTATACACGCGGGTTTGGGTCTATGTGTGAGCACGTGTGTGTGTGTGTGTACACGTGGATTCGTGTGTGATGTGATTATTGTGGGCACCGCAGTAAAGCAGAGCACCGTAGAACCACACTTTAAAGAGACAGGATTTATTCATAAAATCCGGCTGTCGCCTGATGATGCCAGTTGTAATTACTGGCGAAACGTCGTACTCAGATCGTTGTGGCTTTGCTCTCCAACACACCGGTGTGCTGTGCTAGTAACGAATTGGCACGTTCTGTTTACGAGACAAACCTTGCTAATTGGCCGTGTCGGGTGGTGGCGGGTGCAACGACACATTTATGTATTTACGCGATCCCCAAAAACCCTGCATTATGAACAGAGCAATGGTCGGTAAGCGAACACATTGGTCTCTATGGAGACACTACACTACACTATACGCTACAATGCACCACACATTGGGCTCTATGGAGGCACTACACTACACTATACGCTACGATACACAACACATTGGGCTCTATGGAGGCACTACACTACACTATATGCTACAATACACAACACATTGGGCTCTATGGAGGCACTACACTATACAATACACCACACATTGGACTCTATGGAGGCACTACACTACACTATACGCTACAATGCACTACACATTGGGCTCTATGGAGGCACTACACTACACTATACGCTACAATACACAACACATTGGGCTTTATGGAGGCACTACACTACACTATACGCTACGATACACCACACATTGGGCTCTATGGAGGCCTTTTGTTAAGCGATTAGTCGTCAACAGGGGTTCTACTGTAATATACGAGAGGAGCGGTGTCACGAACTCAGCAAACAGAGTTCGACTCCCGCCCTACAACCAATCACAAAACAGTGGCGAATATTTCAACCGGTTCTGGGCCTCCCGTGGGTCTACTCGGCCTTAAACACGAGTACGGTACGGTATATGAATTTAAGATCGGTGCGGGGCGCAATTGTTAACTTACGTGTGTTTCGATTTAAAGCTTTCGTGACTGCAGGGATTCATCTTCTTGGTTCTTTCGGTAAAGTCACGTAGAATGGAAATAATAAAATAATAAAAATAAAACATAATAAAATAATTCTCACGACGTTTCGGCCACAACGCAAGCAGCCGTCCTCAGGTGTCTTTATCGACAGACCTGTTCTTCACCTGCGGACGGCTGCTTGCGTTGTGGCCGAAACGTCGTGAGAATTATTTTATGTTTTATTTTTATTATTTTATTATTTCCATTCTACGTGACTTTACCGAAAGAACCAAGAAGTTGCGTGTGTTTGTCGTGACAACTTAAACATGTGGCATCACCCACCCTCCCCCACCACCACCACCATTGTGTTGTGCTCGTGGCTTCTTTGTCTTTGTTTGCTCATCATCTCGTCACTCCGATGGGGTCTCGTGACTCGTGACTCGGCTACCACGCCCCCTGAAGTCGAGCCGGGGGAACGGACCAATCGCGGCGCTTCCCCAGCAGCCCTTAAAAGGCGGCTCAATTCGCACGTGAAATCTCTACAGCACCACTTCGCTGAGCCGCCGCCGTCTTCGCTGGGCTTTAATCCTCCACGTTGCTCCAAGGTAGCTGCTGCGTGCTGGCTGCAAGCAACACCAAGGGATTGGGGGTGGGGGGGGTGCTTTGTTTAAGAGGCGCTGTTCCATTGTGTCGACCACGTGCTTTGTATGCTACTGACTTGGCCACGTTGGTTACATGTGTAATTGTGTAGTTCGTCAACGAGGCACACACTTTTGTCGAAATCGGTCCACGGATGCGAAGTGTTGAACTAATGCCTTTTGTAATTTTTGCACTCTCATCAAAGGCTGTGTGTGTGTCTGAATCTTTTGGATGATTTTTTTTTATATGTGGAGACTAATTATGGGGAAGGAGGTGCATTTTATTTCCCTGTGCTCCTTTGGCTCAGAAATATGATTGTCTTGTATATAATACGTTATACCTAAATATATAGTTATTTTTCATATATACCACTAAGACGAGACATTGTAAAAGTATAGATGCAATCTCTGGTGGGTTTAAAAAAAATCGTCACGAACATTGCCTTCAAAAGCATTACATATAATAGGCGACAATAGTCCATAAACCCGCTTCATGGCACATCCAGAGGCGTTAAGAGTTGGGATACTTTATTTACTTGTTCGGCCTAAAAGTGTTTTACTCTGCATAATTGCGACTTGGGACAAAATGACCCTCGTATATTGCATATTGGATCATGGTGGCTCGTACAAATGTCGTAGTTGTGCCGTTTTAGAAACGTCTAGCCTACGTGCTAAGCTTGCAGAACCTCTTGGAATTATTTTTATACTACAGTTTTGTGGTCACGGTTAATGTTTTAAATAACCAAACGTTTAATTTAATTTGTAGCTTTCGTGACTGCAGGAATTACTCTTTGGTTCTTTCGGTAAAGTCGCGTATAAAGAGAAATAAATAACTTTAGTAATAAATTAAATATATATTTTTAATGGCAAAAAATACGTCCTGATGAACGTTATCGACTTTACATCGGTTACCTCCACGAGGCGCGGTCAGAAGGTACTGTATACATCCCTTTTGGCATTTTAGGTGTAGCCACATTTCCAGGAACAAACTAATATTTAACTTTTGTTGAGACTCGAAACGACGATCATCAAGCAATGTGCCTTTATCTGCCCTTCTACGTAAAAATTATACCACTTTACACATCCATCAGCCACACGACCCTCTGGATATGTTTTTATTTTCAGTAACATTGGGTTTAACTGTAGAAACACATTCTCGACCGTTTTTGTAATGTGTTTTCTAAGCGTTTGTGCCAGCAGCTTGTGGTTGGAATCTGTTCGGTTATATTCGTAGAATTTTTTTTCCTACGTCGCCAAAATAAATGCCAGAGGTAAAGGAATACTGTTTGCTGACGCAGGAAGCCACGAGGAGTGGCTTTTAATGAATAAATGGTCTCGTTTTTTAAACTGCATTTCGCTTGAGGTCCCAGCAAGCAAGGCCTTCCATCGCCACCCAGATGACCTTTGTCCCACCCCCCCCCCCTAAAATCGCTCCTCTCTCGCAGCTTCATCGGTAACGATACAATTAACTTTGTCGGGAAGCGATTATTTTAATTTGTGGAAGGCGCTTGGGATCCAGCTTTGGTGAATGTGGCGATTCTCTGGATTTTATTCGGAATTTTGTAACTGATTATTCTGGTTTTTTTGCGTTTTACACATTTCGCCATTTTATTTTTTTAGTCAACACAAGGCAGGCAGTGTCAACAACGCCTCGGTGATGGAAGTTTAATTATACATTGCGGTGAAATTGCCAGTAATTAAAATTACCAGCAATGGGGAAAATTGTAGTTAACCCAACGTGTGCCACCGCTGCTGCTACTAAATTGGACCACAGAATTATTGATCGCTCTTTGTGCGAGTGTCCACCGACACGTTTTTTGGTTTTTCGTGCCCAAGAGTCTTAATTGAAAATGGCCGGAGCGTGCAATGGAGGTGGGTGTGGGTGGGATAGAATTCCAGCTGTTCACCACAAAATCCTTTCTTTTTGGAGCAGTGCCCCACAAACAAAAGGGGATGGGGGTGGGGGACCTCAAGCCCCATTGTGTGCGAGCTTGCCACACAACCCTTTTTTTAAATGCTCACGGGGTTAATTCCGTACTGTTTTTTTAAAGTTCTATCCGTCTCAAAAGAGAAATTGTAATTCTTTGTAGTTTAATTTGGAAGATACCCAGCACCTGTAAGAAAACGTCGGCCGTTGCTTATTAACTCGCGGTACAATGCGAAACGGCGTCAGAAAGCTCTTAGTCGATTTGGGGCCGCTTTTGAATTGTGGCATTTTAAAGGTTTATTTGCTGCTTGGTATTGTTAAAAAATACACCCATTACGGTATACTAAAACAACAATGGGTTCTAGATTTGAAGCTTTCGTGACTGCAATGATTCATATTCTTAGGTTTTCGGTAAAGTCACGTAGGTAAAAAAATTTAAATTAATAAAAGTAAAATAAAAAACTATATAATACAATATTTTTTATTTTACTTTTATTAATTTTAAATAGAATTTTTTACCTGCGTGATTTTACCGAAAAAAACCTAAGAATACAACAATGGGTGTTTGCACGTATGTGCGCTGCTTAAGCAACAGTTGATGGATCACACAGATGGTGTTGTGCTCTTAAAACCGAGACCCAATAGGCTGGCATGGCAGTCCAGAAAGTGAGATTTTTTTAGACCTTTTCGACTTTTGAGCCATCATCTCCCTTGTAATGCCTTGTTTGTTGTGGTTTGACTCCTTTTTGGATGAATGATTAAATCGCATAACTAAAGCCTGTTAATGTTTTACCTCGTGATTGCAAACGTCTTCAATACGGCTAGCAACAAGCATCCACCGCTATCCATAATAGATGCGTATGCAGATGGCAGCCTCCTTTGTTTGTGCCAGATGCCAGGCTCCAGTCACTCCCCACCCCCATTGTGTTCCCAGTTGGCGTGTGGCCGTGTGTGTACCAGCACCTGTCCTTGAGTAAACACATTATTTGACGGCTGGTGAATGGTGCACAAATAACAACATTCATGGTGCACATTTGTCATCAGTACTGTGGCTGTAGGAAAACTGTTTAGTCCTTAGATACGCGGCAGGCAACGGACCCCATCGTAGCATGATAATTTCGTGTGCTATTTATGCTTAATGCCTGTTATTTATGAACGGGTTCAGTTTATCCTGCAGCGTTTTTATTTCTCCAATGTTCACATCTTTAAAGGGCATACAGATAATAGTGAACCGGATTCAACTTAGACACTTTAATTGTTTAACTTGAAATATTAAAGTGTCGGTACATTTGTCACATGATGATAATCGTCTTGCGTTAATTGCATCCCAAATATAATTTTAAAAGTAGCATCGATTATACATGTTTATGTGCAGTATGCCGGACATCCCAAAAAACCGAAGAAGTTTTCAAACCAATTATTCCTGCTTCCAAAAGTTTCACAATTGTTTTTTTCTAGGCGAGTGATTTAATTATAGGCTACAACCCTTACTCCCTGCACCTGGAGACTTAACGTGGTGGCCAAGACTGAGATTGGTAAACCCATGGGTCCCCTTGTGTGTGGGCTTCTGTTCTGACACATGCCACTTATATTAACCCTTAAGCCCATCTAATTCCCTAATGAGGGTCACATTGTTAACGTGAACGCCCCCCCCCCCCCGTGTGTTATTGCCTCCTGCCTTGCAGCCGGTCCTGACTAACGGGAAGAAGATGAAGCTGCTGCTCGTCGCTTTGCTGGGGCTCGTGGCGGCGGTCTCTGTGGCCGTGGCCTCGCCATTCCTCGACCCGGAGCTGTCGTCCGAGTGGGAGTCCTGGAAGGAGTTCCACGGCAAGACATACGACCAGGTAGGGTGGTCACGTGCGCACACGCTCGCCCACCGCGCACCGCTGCTGCTTGGTTTAAAGGCCATCCACCCAACTCCAAGTTGCGTGATGCGCATGAAGCTGTTGCACTGCAATACCGTCACTTGAGGGCGCTGTGGCATCGCTTGAGAGGGCGCTGTGATCAGCAGCAGGCACCCGATTTTATTTATCACGAGCGTCTTTGCCCGTCCTAGGACGGAAGCTTTAATATTTTACGAAAAAATGTAACAGTATAATTATTTTTCTATTTAAAGCTTTCGTGACTGCGGGGATTCATCTTCTTGGTTTTTTCGGTAAAGTCACGTAGAATGGAAATAATAAAAATACAACATAATAAAATAATTCTCACGACGTTTCGGCCACAACGCAAGCAGCCGTCCTCGGGTGGAGAACAGGTCTGTCGAGAAGAAAGTCTGAATGACCGAAAGAACCAAGAAGAGTATAATTATTCTGTGTAAAATTTAATGGCGGTGAATCTTGCGCAAGAATGTCGTCAAACACTTCTGCATTTCACTAGCAGTATTAATGGTAGTGATTCTTACACAAAACTACGTCGTAAAACACCACTTCACTATATAATTGGCCTTCAATTTGTTCAATTTGCTGCTCTGATACTTTATTCTCTTCTGCTTTCGGTCGCTGGGGTTGAAATACATTGGAATTCAATACAATGTATGGAAAATCACCGAGAAATATATTTTACCATAATGTAGAAGCATTTAATTAGACTTGCTTTTTGGCTCAAGTTATAAATAAATAAAGACATCAAATCCACTTTGTTGCTGCGTATAATTATTTATTAGATTCACTTTCAATAAAGAAATGTCAAACTTAAAGCGAGTTTGCGAAAAAAAAATATATCACTAGTGTAAAAATCGCACCCGCTCATGAATATAAATGGGGGGGGGGGGGGGGCATGTGGTGTGATGCCACGCGCGTTACACGCAGACATTCTTGGCTCTGTAGTAATTTATTATTCTTCCCGTTTACCCAGAAAAGCCTCAAGAACTCTCGAGGAATTTATTTTCTTCCTCAGGAGGGTCCTGCCAGTTTTGGTGGTGGTCGGGTATGGGGCGATTGTTGTCGTGTAAAAAACCCAATTTGAATGTCGATTATTTTATTTTTTCAGCATTGCGATTTGTTTTGACCATTACCAGTTGCTTATTGCCAAGGAGGGTGAAGCCAGAGAATATGGGAGGGGACATCCCATGCAGACAAATGGACAACATTCAAATTCCACAGAAAATGGGCCCCAGTTGGGACTTTAATCTCGGCCCTTTAGTCCTGAGCCACAAGTTGTTACCGCTGTGCAAACATCCCTGCCGCACCTAGAAGTTGTTTACTCTGATCGAAGCTTCAAATTCACGTGGGAACAGCCCAGGATCTAGAGCTCGTCTGTGTGGCCTTTGCTTGGATCGCAGCTCCTTGTTTTTCAGGTTCATACTTTTCTAAAATGGTGCGTTTAAAAAAAAAACCAATCTGTTGTCTGGCCTCTTGTGGTGCAGAAGGAGGAGGGCTGGAGGAGGATGATTTGGGAGAAGAACCTCAAGAAGATCGCAGTGCACAACCTGGAGCACTCCATGGGCAAGCACACCTGGCGCATGGGCATGAACCAATTCAGTGACATGGTAAGCCAGGACATCTTCATCCCTTACTAGATGGTGCCTCTAGTCGCCTGGACAGGAGCTCTTTTTTGTGGCCACGATGTCGTGAATGCACTCCACAAATGTTAGACTGTGCTGATCGATGCACTTGAGTGTGTTGCTCCTGAAAAAATAGCCCACTTCCGTTTTGCGGCAGAACATGACATGCCTTTACGCAAGCGGCTTCCATGTTGATTTCGCAAGTGAATGGTGGTGGGGGGTGAACTCTTACATGAATGTGGCAGACTACAAACTGCAACTAAGAGCTCTTATTCTGTGTGTGTGTGTATATATAGGTGTAATATGTGTTTATGTTTAGGGGAGCAGTAGTGTAGCGGTTGGCACATTGCGCTACGAACCTGGTGACCCGGGTTCGATTCCCGCTCACGGTCAACACCAGTGACGATTATCTGAACCGGTCCTAGGCCTCGCCTAGGTTGACTTGGCCTCGAATGAGTACCTGGTGCGATGTGTAAACATTGCCACTGGGAAGACTAAGGCGGCCGGGCGTGGTGTTGGCCACCCCCTCGTGTGCCGGCTTTAATAGGTGCTCGCTACTGTGTTACAGGCTATACAGAGGGGATCTTTGTCTTTGGTTATATATAATATAAAAAAGCAGCTTTTTAAGATTCGTGCTGTAGGCACAAATAACCAGCAAGGGGTGGCACTGGTTAAAGCGCTCGTTTTTACTCTCCCTTGTCAATGTGCATCTCGCTCAGACAAAAGAGGAGTTCCAGAAAACCATGCTGGGCCTCAGGGGCTCGAACAACACCAGCAAGGCCTCCCGCGGCGCCACGTTCATGGCGCCCGCCTTCTTCGAGGCTCCCGAGTCCGTCGACTGGAGGAAGCAGGGCTACGTCACCGACGTCAAGAACCAGGTACCGCACCGCTTGCCGCACGTCCTGCGATTCCAGCGGCGTGCTTGAGGGGTCTCTGCGGCTTGCTCGGATAAAACTTTCAAACGCCCGACTCTTGTGCCGTCTGGGATGAGGGTGGCCAGGAGATGGCGGAGGAGGCGGTGTTTCTCAAAACACCATGGCTGGTGGACCATCCGACCCAGTATAGTTGTGGATTTCAGCTTTCCCTTTTATAAAACTTACACATTGCATGTGCTGGGTAATGTAGCAATCGGTTGTAACGGTGTGGGGGGGGGGGGTCCTCACGAACTCATCTTGCAAGATGGGCACAGTGTGCCAATATCAGCAATTGGGAGACAAAGGGGAGACCTGGACATGGTTGTTGGATTGTTGCCGCCCATGTTGTGTTGCAATGGCGGTGCTCGCTTGGTGCATGAACTCTTCCAAGCCTGTCGGTCTAAATCGGTGGTTCTTAACCTTTACTGCAGCCTTGGCATCCCTTTTGGTTCTTAATCGTAAAAAAAAATATTATTTGAATAAATACAGAGGTTTGTAACAAAGTAGTTGTACTTGCGTGCCCGTGCTCAATTTGTTTTATAATTTACCTTCTAAAAAAAAAATCTGGCCTGTTTTGCATTCGCACAGGGCATCTCGCACCCCCAGGGAGTGCGTGCACCCCAGGTTAGGAACAACTGCTCTAAATGGTGATCTTTATCTCCGCAGGGCGACTGCGGCTCTTGCTGGGCGTTCAGCGCCACCGGCTCCCTCGAGGGGCAGCACAAGCGCAAGACTGGAGTGCTCGTGTCGCTGAGCGAGCAGAACCTGGTGGACTGTTCTCGTGACGAGGGCAATAACGGCTTGCGGTGGAGGACTCATGGACCAGGCCTTTACCTACATCAAGAAGAATGATGGTATCGACTCTGAGGCGTCGTACGCGTACACGGCAAAGGTGAGGGATAGGTTTGAGGTCGGTGACTGCAGGTCGTAGTGGCATCTTGTCTATACCCAGTTGACACCGGTCTGTTATGCACTTCACTGCAATCCTGATCTGAACACACCTGGGTCCGTTCTCTACTGGAACTAACACCGGTGTGGCATTTGAACTGGTCTGGAACCTTTCATGTAGGGCCTCCGAATGAGTACAGGACTGTGACTCCAAAATGTGGCCAGATTTATGGATGGCTAAGTTGCCCCCCCCCCCCCCCATGTGTCTTGTTGGCCTCCTGAAGTGCTCCATTGCCAACCCCATCAATTTCGGGGATGTAATAGCAGTTGGTGCTTGCTAATGATGCAAATTCTAAGGCCACAGAGGGTTTTCAATTTGAAAATGGTTGGCATAGCCTTCCAATGTGTTTTCAGCTTGGGGGAGGGGGGGGGCACGTGTTATTCGCCCATTGTTTTGCTTCCATGTGCCAGAACATTCTTCAGCGGATGACTTGGGCCACTTTTCAGTACTTTTCTAGTTTTTTTAAAGATAATTGAGGTTAGACGATATGTTCGGGGGTGGGGCGGAGTGTCTGATGCTAACGACGTGTGGCGCGCGCGAATGCAGGATGGGGTTTGCAAGTACAACCCCAAGAACAAGGCTGCCGAGGACACCGGCTTCATGGACATCCCCAACGGGAACGAGGGGGCCCTCAAGAACGCCGTGGCTTCCGTCGGCCCCGTGTCGGTCGGCATCGACGCCAGCCTCGAATCCTTCCAGTTGTACAGCTCCGGTGAGTGACCGCTCCAGGAAGGCACCAGTTCCAAAGCAACGCTCGTATAACCGCAGCAGTAGATTTTTTTCTTTTTCCCCACAGTTGTATTGCTGCAAGGTGTTCTGCACGACATCCGTTCGATATTTTGCTCCCCCGTGCTGTTGGAGCTTCCATCAGAATGTTTGGCTGTTCAAAACGGTGCAATGTGCCAAATTTTTAAGAGATCGCTTTTGGACCTCCCTTTATAGGTCGTCAACTTGCTACGCTTAATTACTCTAATTTTGAGGTCACTCAAACCCAGAATATTAGTGCTGGCAGGATAACCTTCAGCCCATGTAACGTAGGGTGCCTCCTTGAGATCATTGACACTTGACATGTGTTCAATAACACTTCCCTAAGAGGGGAAAAAATATGTATCATGACGTTACATTTAGTGCAGTCCGCCCCGCCATCTCTTGTCATGAAGGGCCATTGGTCAAAAATGGCACCAATTGCATGTTTTTTTTCCCTTTTGGCGGCAGTGTTATTGACAACTACGGTTTGGTTATTTGTGTTTTCGCTCCCATCCCATTTGATATATTATGTAACATTATGGACTCGTGGGTACGTGTGCTGTCGGTGTATTTTCAGGCATTTACAGTGACAGCGATTGCTCCGACAACCTTGATCATGGCGTGTTGGTTGTGGGCTATGGTGTGGATGATGATGAACGTAAATTCTGGATCGTCAAGAACAGGTGCGTGGCTACAAACATCACAGCTGCATTGTAATATATCATGTCTGGCGAGGTGGTGTGGTTGCCACACTGCTCCTACACCCAGTTAGTTACCTTAGCAATGCTGCAGCGTGTATCCTCCACCCGTTTGTGATTTGCGATTCGAACTTCCCTAGGATGGCTTGGTCGTACACGAGTATCGCAGGTACCCGACTGAAATAAATTCTGCATAGGTGCAATGGTGGTGTGAACATCAATGCTGGGGGGAGACCAAGGTGGCAGGGTGTGCATGTTTATGCGCTGTATCTTTAAATATCTACTTGCTAACTGAACTTACCCATTAAACATAAGCTAAATAGATGCTTCGTGAAGACTCCAAGGGTATGATGTATGTGGGGATAAACGAGTACTACGCTATTGAATGGCAACGATGGTCATCCATAGGCTAGGACCCTACCTTCAATGTGGAATTTCCACATTGGCATGGGGGCCCTATAACGGTAAACACTTTCTCTCGCGCTCACCTGAGCATGGGATAAACATTTGTTTTACTTTGACCACCGCATCCCATTTGTGTGCAGTGCTGCCCTTACTCGGTGCTCTCCAACGGCTCTGGCCTTGTTTTTAATACGCAAGGAAAATGCCTTTCTCTGCATGTGAGCAGCTTTCTTTGCGATATTTCCAGCACTGCGCGATTCCTTGTCGACCTGTGTTCATGGATAACGCACATGACAAGCGGTTATCAAAACCCTTCCTGGTGGGCCTCTCTTACGTCTCAACTAGGCCTTTAAGTACCTGGTGCAGCTTTAAACGGTAGTGGTGGAAGGAGGTGAAGGTGGCCATTTGTGGTGCGGGTGTGCCAGCCTCAACAGGAGCGTGCTAACGACGACGTTTGTTATTCGTTTTAGGGTTCTGTAACATTGATGGAACTTCTTTCTGTGTGTGCGTGCGCAGCTGGGGAACGAAGTGGGGAGATAATGGATATATCCTTATGGCACGTGATAAGGACAACCTGTGTGGCATTGCCACTGCTGCAAGCTATCCCCTGGTGTAATAACCACCTGTCTCTGCACATGCATGCACACTGGCACACATACTTGTGTGCAAGCATACACATGACTGTTAGTGTTTGTTCAACTCTTTTACAAGAATTAAGTTTTTAGTTTTATCCACTCTTTATTATGTTAAGCCACTGGCTTTTTATGTCAATGCAACAAGTGTTGGTGATTACTACCAACTTCAATGCAAGGTCTACTGTCTAAAATATAGTGTTGATATGATTGGAATGGTGCTAATATCTTAAAATTGCCTCTTTTTTTAATGAATCTACCTCCCTTGGACCAGAAACACTTGAAGCGAGTGCAATTGTGTTTTTTGAGGTTGTATTAGCATGTTGCCAAAACATGGCCAGTTTTGTTTGATCTTAAATAAAAAAATGTTTTAAAAAAATTATTTCGTTGAGTCTGTTTGCATTCATTCTCTGGCCTTGCCGCAGTGGAATTGGTCGAACGCATGATTAAACTTATTGATGAGTAAAAAAAATTGCCAGTTGGAAGGTTGAGCTCGCCATCAACTTCGGTCGACACAATGAGTACGGCTTTGAGTATCGATTTTAGTGTTGTCTTGTTTGGAAATTAGTTCCTGTTACTGATGCAGACTTCTCCAATGCGGGCTGCAAAGAGCTGAAACATTGCACTCATTTGGGCAGGGTGTTTTGAAAAATGTTGGCTTGGTCAATTCGTTCTCCTTTTTAAAAGTAGTATAGGTTATGTATGGTGGTACCCAGAGCCGTTATGCGAGGGTTCTATTCTCATCAGTAGCGTCGTGGGTTTAGTGCACTGCTACAAAACCAGCGACTTATCCTGGGCCACACCGAGGTTGACTGGGTCTCGAGTACCCAGTTTCGGGTGTAAACATTTCTTCTGGGGAGACTAAGGCGGTCGGGCGTGGTGCTGGCCGTCATAGGTACTTGCTAACAGCACTTGTCCCGACAATCTTAAGACTATACGGGGATATCTCTTTTGTACTACGATACCATTACACTGGAAGTGTAAAATGTTATATCGCGCAAACTGTTGTGGAGGAAGTGGACTACAGTGGAACGTTATCACTTCTCCTTTTGTGGCCATGCTTTTGAGACAATGACATGGGTCAACGTCGTGTGCACTATACAGATATTATTTAAATCCAATTTCGAATATTCTCCCGACACCGTTCTGCGATCCACCGATCATCTGACGCCGATGCGGACTGAGTTGTCCCCACTAAACCACGCGACACACCCATGTCGTGGTCTGTAAGGTTGGTGGTGGCATGAGCCAGCACCGTACCGGCAGGAACAACCACGTCATCCGGACCCCCATTCAGGACTTGCAAAAATGGGTGCCTGTCCGGATCGAACAATCGTCTGAGCGCAAACAAGCGCCAGATTCCGGGTCGCCGTATTCGACGGGGTCAGAAGGACCCCGGCTGTCGCATCATTGTTACAGATCCCTTTTCGGTAACGCAATGGCACCAGCATCTGTGAACCTGGTGGAATTTCGACCGTAACGTCTGCTAGTGCCTGCACAGCGGCGCACTGCGACGAATGCAAGAGCGGGGACGGAAGAAAATAAAGCTTACGACCGGAGGGCATTTTCAAACAGCCCTAATCTACAATAATTTTAACAGGCATCCTCCCAAGAAAGTCGGTGCCCAGCAAGCAGGGCACACCTTGAAATAAGGACCGGCCCCGACAGCGACATCACCAATCACAATATGGGCATCTACTTGGCCAATGATGCCCATGCTACCCCCATTAGCCGCAACGCAAGCCTCAAAAGCCGGTCGAACACAGGAGGCGGGAATGGATAGAAGTTGAAAAATCACATCGGAAATGATAGTAGCGGAAGCCCCTGTATCGACGAGGACGCGAACATCAACGCCCTGAATGGAGCCAGGTACTGTTGAGGATCCCGTGGCCACCGCGACTACGCGACGTGCCACCTTTTTCCATTGCGTTCTCGAAACAGGCCAACCTTTAGTAACCGTTCCCGAATCGTGAAACGAACAACGTGATGTGAGATGCATGAGGCGACAAGTTTGGCCGGGTGTCCGATGTGTACCGACTCACCTGTATGGGAGGATGTTTGCCCGTCGGAGAAGGAGTCGATGCAGCCAGCGGAGTCGGAGGACGAGGGTGACACCGGCAATCCCGTGCGAAATGGCCCAACCGTCCACACTTGAAGCAGGTGACGGCAAGCCGGCGAGCTGGTCAGTCGTGACCCCGCCGCGGAACGTAGCATCGCCCCGCCGTCGATTCCAGCGAGGAACAGCCGCCGCGAGGTCTCCCTCCGAAGACGCATCCTCCGGAATGTGGACGACTTTAGTTGGTGACCAACCTATTGGCTCACTGTCGCGGCTGAGATCCCCGGTCCATGCAGCCATCTGTGCCCAACGTTGTAGGTTCTCGTGGGCGTTCAGGCATCTAGCGGCCCGTCGGGACGTCTGCGGTTCGTGACTGCAAGCAGGTAGAACAACCCTCATGTCCCTTGCCAAAGCCAGCATTCTCTCCATAATCAACGAGTCGAGGACTTCTTGCTTGACATCAGGGTAAGCGGCCACAGCCAAAGCCATCAAAGCGCTGCGGGAGGCCAGGAGGAACTCGGGACTCCACTGCCTGAGCTGCATGAACTTTCGTCGAGATTCGGAAGGCAATTTGTACACCTTGGCCATTTCCGCGTTCCTGGGTAGTAAGTGTTATTTCCTAATTGCTTATGCCTCATAAGTACAGAAAGTGGCTATTATTCCCCACAAACTTTGCTTTTGTGACCAGGACACAAAAGCAAAGTTAATAATCCACTCCATTAATATCACTGTGTAACAAACGATATATATATTTTTTATTCCTGAGTCATAAGTGTTATTTCCTAATTGCTTATGCCTCAAAGGTACAGAAAGTGGCTATTATTTCCCACAAACTTTGCTTTTGTGACCAGGACAGTGATATTTAGAAATTTACCTATTTTCAATGAGAAAACGTGGCGTGCATGTCTTTCGTTCACATTAAGTCCTGGTCACAAAAGCAAAGTTTGTGGGGGGGAAATAACCATGTTCTAGACTTTTTAGGCATAACCAATTAAAAAACAACACTTAGTACCCAGGAACACCAAAAATTGTGTAACATAGTGTGATTACAACGAGCATCATCTTCGCCTCTTCATCGTCCTGGCCATCAAGATCTTGCGATTCTTTTCAGCCACCCGTTAAGTCACTCGGTGTTGGGGGGGTGGCGGTGGCGGTGGGAAGGCGACCAATGCGACGTCGGGGCGGGGATTTTAGCCGGCATCCCCCGCCTCTATAAAGGAGGAAGAGGCTCGCTCGCCTCGCATCAGCAGCGCCGCCTCTCTCCCTGCCGGCCACCACCACCACCACCGCAGGTAAAAGTTGCAGTGGGGTGGGGTGAGATGAGGTGAGAGAGACAGAGAGAGATACTGCGCCAGGTCGTTAAAAGAGGGCCTCGGGTGACCGAACTCTGCCCGCCGCGTGGCCAGAGTTCAACTCTGCGTGGATGCCGAGGTCGTAGAGATTGCAGCCACTTTTTGGCGTTAACTCGGTCTGTCGCCTCTCCTGGGATGATTTTTTAAATGAAAAAACAAATGGGCATCTGTAAGTGAGAAGAGAAAAACAGCGCTGGTCCTTGTGGAAATACTGGGTCGCGCCATGCGAATGTGGAATTGGCAGCGTTTGTGACGGGCTGTTGACAGATATGAAGTAGCACTAACCACTCGTTTGAGTTGATGGACTGGTAACTTATGCAGTACAGTGCAGTCGTTATAATTTAATAATCATTCACAGCGCTTTGTTACTTCAGACATCACTTGTCATCAAACACCACTCAATACATAATGCCATAGACACAAACAGAATACACGCATTCACAACAAACACTACAAATACTACTGGGTAGACCCATATATACCCTGATTGTTGTACATAGTCATAACAAACATAAAATACTACTGGGTAGAGACATATAACCTGATTGTTGTACATATTCACAACAATCATAAAATACTACAAATACTATTAGGTAGACCCATATATACCCTGATTGTTGTACATAGTCGGAACAAACATAAAATACTACAAATACTACTGGGTAGAGACATATATACCCTGATTGTTGTACATAGAACAAACTAAATACTACTGGGTAGAGACATATAACCTGATTGTTGTGCATAGTCAGAACAAACATAAAATACTACTGGGTAGAGACATATACCATGATTGTTGTACATAGTCACAACAAACAAAATACTACTGGGTAGAGACATATACCCTGATTGTTGTACATAGTCAGAACAAACATAAAATACTACAAATACTACTAGGTAGACCCATATATACCCTGATTGTTGTACATAGTCAGAACAAACATAAAATACTACAAATACTACTGGGTAGATCCATATATACCCTGATTCGTTGTGCGTAGTCACAAACGCAGCCTGGAAATCCCCGCATTCAACTGCATCCGTCCCTCCCCCTCTCGCCTTCCTCCTCCGATGCCCTCAATTCACGACCTCAGAACGACGCTGAAATCCGCACTCTTAAGTGTGGTGGTAGAATGGTGGTGGCACAATCGATAGAGTTGGTTTCCCAACCTCGGCTAAGATCAGGAATCACCGGCGTGTGGAAAAACTGATCTGAAGTTTTCGTGACTGCAGGAATTAATAGTCTTTGGTTCTTTCGGTAAAGTCAACGTTGGTATAAAATAAAATAAAAAACTGGCTTTACGTACCTATCGTGACTTTACCGAAAGAACCAACAAGTATGAACAGGTCCTGGGGGAGGGAATCAGCATCTGTGTTCGTGTGGGCAGGAATTCGATTTGTGCCGAGGTCTTGTACCGGTATTGTTGTGTTGAACTTTATTCAATTGTATCGAGATCTCGTAATGTACAGGTATTCATATTCTTGGGTCTTTCGGTAAATTCACCTATCTACGTGACTTTACAGAAAGAACCAATAATATGAATTCCTGTAGTCACGAAAGCTTCAAGTAAAGATTTGTACAGGTATTGTGTTGAACTTTATTTTCCCAGTGGTGTGTTGGGAGACCGAGTGTGGGTTTGGTCTGCGGGGAAAAGTAGCAGCCCTAGGCCATGCCGACTCCCCCCTTGAACTTGCTCTGACCACGTGTGGTGAAGTATGGTCAAACATTCCACTCGGCAGACGCGGTGATCGTGGGGAGGTCTTCATCCAGCAATGGATTGACAAAGGTGTTGTGATTTCACACAGATGCACAACAATGACGTGTGTGATGCAGTCAGACTAAACCCAGGGCACTTGTTAAAGGTGGACTGGGATTTCATGAATGAAATAACCGGGGTAATGATAATTGTTTTTTTTTTTATCTGGCAACAAAACTGACACCTTTTTTTACAAGGAGTCATGTTTGCATTGACCACAATACCTGCAGTCGGAATGCAAAAAAAACATAACTCTGATAATGTATGCACTGTCCTTGAAGTTGATTGGTCCGCACCCGAGACAGCTTTCCTTAGAGCCTAGTCTCACCTGGTGTTGGACCAGATGACGCCAAAAGGCGCACAACTCAAAGACAATGCACCATCAGAGTATGAGAGCTCGGGGTAAGCATTTACACCATTGGAACCTCATTTGCCAGTAGAAAAATATGATAATTGTTTTTTTACCCTTTTATCTGGCAACAAAACTGACACCTTTTTACAAGGAGTCATGTTTGCATTGACCACAGAGAAAACAGCTGAATGTGATCATGACCATCAACTTGTGTCTGAAGAGTTAACATTTTCAATAGTTGCACTTTATCACCCACGATGCCATGCGGACCAGAAACACGGACGCCAACAGAGCGGAACAACATTAAAAGTGCACAAGGAAGCATGTGGGGAGAGGCGAGGTTACGCGTCATAGAATGAGACTGACTACCCTGACCTAGTGAAGGAAATTCCACATTCCCATGGTTGGGACAGGTCATTCTATAGGACGGCCACTCTTAGTCGCTGAGGCCGTGATGGGTTTCTTTTGTCATGCCGGTTTCTCTGTGCCTCTTGTAACATCCCCCTTCCGCTGTAGTGTGCACTGATGCCACAGTTATCGAGGAGGGATATTGACAAGTAGAAATAAAGATTGATTTATTGAGGAACACCAATTGCGCAAAGAGGAAACACATGGGTCAGGAACAGAAAGAGAGTTGGAGACGTCGCTTTGACTGAATGTTTCTCTTCACGCAAAGTCTTTGGTTGAAGGGCGTGTAGTGAGATAGGTTCTTTGTAAATAATTTGTATTAGGGGCGTCCATAAATGACGTCACGCGATTTTGGACGATTTTTGACACCCCCCCCCCCTCGTCACAAATGCAGACCCCCCCTCAGATATGATGTCACAAAGCTTTGCCCCCCCCCCCTCCCAAAATAAATAAAACATGCTTAAAATCGCTTTAAACTATTGTCATTGTAGTGCGTATTTAATGTGGTGCTGCACTCTGATGTTGTAGGAGAAACATTTATTAAAAAGTCTATTTAATTAAGTAGAACATGTCTATATTTATGAAAAAATTGCGCATTTTGATGTGACGTCAGATTTCTCAACCCCCCCCCCCCTTCGTCACACATCGTCACAAATGTCTGACACCCCCCCCCCCCAAGTGCTTGACGTCATTTATGGACGGTCCCTTAGGCACTAGGAGGCCCATAATGGAGATGGTATCACATAAAAAGCTGCCATAAGCAAATCAACAAATTTGGTTCACTTACGTTTGTTGTCCTGGGACATTTTCTTTGCAGGCAAGAACATGAAAGTGAGAAAAGTGCTGTCAGAGATCTGAACTTTAACAAAAAAACAAAAAGTAAAAGTCTGGCCTCTAAGAATACACGTAATGTACTGTAGTTGCATAAAGAGGATGCCAGAAAACGGCACGGCAGGAAAGTGAAAGCGATTTAAAAGTTTGGTTAGAACGTTACAGGAAAGAGCCGTACATATACTGTGACCCGGAAGATGAGGTTGCAATGGTTGGTGAAGGCAGGGAGCATTGACGGGGTGGGGGGACATAAAAGGACAGTACAAGAATGCATTTTGCTGTAGTCCCCTTTGCTGTCCACAACGTAGTCCCACATCAGCCTAGAACACCTGGTTTATGCATGCTGGTCACCCATCCAAGCATTATCGAGGCACAGCCCAGTAAACATGAAACGTTGGTCCAATGGTTCCAACCACGTGGCAACATTGGCCCAACATTGCATGTTTACTGGGAAGCCTTTTAAGCTTCTGAGATCCGGTACATTCCGAATGAGTTGCTTATAGCTGATGATATATGTATTAAAATGCAAGTGTGTTTTGGTGTCTAGTGTGTGCGTGCATGTATGTTTGTTTGCTGATGCATAAGTGTTTATTTATGTACACCTTATTTTTGTTTTTTTGCGTGGCAATGTGAGAAACCAAATTCATGTGAGGCATTTTCACGTTGGCACAGGTTATCAGGTTGAGCCATCAACATTCCCGACACTTAAGCCTGGTTTTACATTTTTTATCACGATCTGGATGTGAACCCAGAATCTCAGTGCGTATGGCTCCGTGTGATCTATCCTGGACATTATTAAACCACTGAGCCATCTGTCTCGCATTAAAAGTCGAAACTTAAAATCTTAAATGTCTTCACAAGGTAGCATGATGCGTTTCCACATGTGCTATCAACACCAGTTCGCCCCACCTTTTCTAATATCTTCCCGATCTTTCCTCCATTGCTGTTGCCATTGTTAGGTCCCATTGTGCCGAGTCTATGTCTCCTCTCTGCCTATCTGCTGCTGGCCTTTCCCTTTTACATCCTCCGCGTGTCAGATTCCACTCCATCAGTTTTCGTCAAAACTTCTGTGATATCCATCCTTAACAGATGTCCGAGCCATTGCAGTCATCTCTTTTTTATAAAAGCACTGATTGCCTCTTGTTCCGCATCCTCTCTCTGACCTCTATATTGCTACTTTCATTGGGCAATAAGATCTCACGTAGGCAACGCTTCCCAGACGCATTAAAGCGCCATTCAGTGGCCTTCATGATATATCCATTTTCCGCATCCCATGTGTCAACACTGAAACAGCCATTGCCCTAGCCAGTCTTAGCCTCATCGACAGAGAGACATCACGATCCCAACTGCGAGTAGAGTGGTCTAAATACAGAGCCACGCAGCCACATCACGACCCACGAGAACGCTGCGATTGACGTCCTTCACCTCTCTCTGTTGCCGTCTCCTGCCTTGCAGCCAGTTCTGACTCTGAGACGGGAAGACGACGAAGATGAAGCTGCTGCTCGTCGCTTTGCTGGGGCTCGTGGCGGTGGTCTCTGCGGCCGTGGCCTCTTCTTTCCTCGACCCGGAGCTGTCGCCCGAGTGGGAGTCCTGGAAGGAGTTCCACGGCAAGACCTACGGCGAGGTCGGTCGCGACCACGACGCACGGCGCCGCTCGCATGGCGCGGCCGTGTGCTCGCACCGCACGAGCGTTGTAGAGCGTTGTAGAGCAGCTCTTTGTTCAGAGATGCCCACGGAGATAAACTAAACAAATATTTTATTTATATTTTACCAGGTAAGACCCATTGAGCTGTATAGCTCCTATTCAGAAATTGATAGCCAAATAGTCTGAATGCACATTGATTCTAAATGTGGAGGGAAAAACTGGAGAACCTACAGAATAATCCACGAGACCACGGGGAGACCGAGACATGCAAACTCCAAATATACAGGCATCAGGGTTTGGATTGAACCCACAACCTCCTGCATAGCCGGTGAGGTAGTTAACATCTTGCCACCACGGCATCAATCTCCATGGTGTTCATCCTCTCCATTGCATACAATTCCAGGTCAGAGGTTTCATAATTGCGCTGCACGTAGCCTACCATGCGAATCTGAGGTGCACAAACCAACTAGCTCTCCTCCACGGTCGGTGTGATGTCTCGAATATTTATTCGTTCTATAATCCCAAACTGTGAAGCCACATAATACCTTAACACTGTGCTGGTTGCTTATGCGTCGCATCCCTTGACGTGTCGCTATGCCTGCTGTTGCTGCAGAATGAGGAGGGCTGGAGGAGGATGGTGTGGGAGCAGAACCTCAAGAAGATATCCATGCACAACCTGGAGCACTCCATGGGCAAGCACACCTGGCGCATGGGCATGAACCGTTTCGGGGACATGGTGAGCCCTCTGCAGACCGCCCTTTCATCTAGATGTTGACTCAGGTCCCTCATCCCTCTGACACTGATTCCCCCTATGGAGAGACAGGCTCCCACCACAGGAATGCGGAATTCCCAAAAGTATTTCAGCACCAACAACAAAGATGAGCCACGCCCAATGCTCACGTGAGCAGGGAATTATGGGACTAGTTTGATGCTGAGATGGTACGAGGAAGGGTGCTGATGTGGTTAGCGCACTGCATTATAAACCTGCTGACCTGCGTCGTTCGATTACCAGCTACGGCTAACGTCAGTAGTGAGTGATGTCTAAACCGGTCCTGTACCTCTGAACCCCACCCATTCACCAACCCGTGCTGACCAGCATGGTGAAGTATGGTCAAACAACCGTCAGGACCCACACGGAATGGAGAGGCCTTCACCCAGCAGTGGATTGACAAAGGGCTGTAGTAACGTTGAAACCATGAAGCTGACGACACTCGATAACCCGGTTTTAACTATCGTCGTGGTAATCTATGTCCGCTCGCTGTGAACGCGCGTCTCGTTCAGACCGGGGAGGAGTTCCAGCAGGTGATGCTGGGCTTCAGGGGCTGGAACGGCACCAGCAAGGCCTCCAGCGGCGCCACGTTCTTGGCGCCCGCCTTCTTTGAGGCCCCCGAGTCCGTCGACTGGAGGAAGCAGGGCTACGTCACCGACATCAAGAACCAGGTACCGCCCAGTCCAGGTCAAGATCAAGCAACTCTTTCTCCATGGCACAATCGAGCTGCATCGGGGGCCCGTGCAGCAAAAAAAAAAAAAACGCAGCGCAGCACAGGATCAGCCCGCTTGGTTTTTTCCACTGCAGAAGCCGAGCTATGCCGTTGATGCCACACACAGCACAATTAACTCGTCGAAAAGTGTGCGGATGATGCGGTGACGTCGTTGTCTTCGGTGTACTGATTGTGATGTCACACGCAATGAACACGTCATTAGCCCTTTTCCCCTGGGTCAGATTGGCCCCAAGCCAGATGCAGATGGTCTTATGAGGTCAGTATATCGTAGTTTGGCTCTGGCTTGGCACGCCAAATAGAGCCTCACACTGGCATGGCTCGAATGTGCCGGTGAATAAAAAAAAACTAAATGGTCATTGTCGTGGCCAAGATTCACTGCATTCCTGATAATGTTACACAACCAACAACCTACCGCTACTATTACATTACCATGTTCCCGCAACCTACCGGGAAGCGTTCCTGTCCATTTTATGAATCGGGCCAGGTTGGTTTAAACCAGAGGTGCCATGGCAGCCTTGCTCGGCCAAGCTAGCACCAACCAGACCGTGGAGCCTGTTTTTGTTTGTTTTTAACGGACTGAGTCGAATGGAAACATGTAGCTCTTACAAGTGTTGGCCCGTAAAAAAATTGTGCTGGGCCTTCCTTACAACGGCCCATGGCAATGCAGCATAGGTCATCATCCTCTTGATCGCCAATCTGTGGGTGCCACACCCAAGGCCTGCCTTGGTAACCTGCCCTCCTCCTCACTGCACACGTGTGCCACCCCTCACAACCTCTTCCTCCCTCCCCCTTCCCCCATCTTGATTACATCTACAACGCTTCCGACGTTCCATTTCAAATTGTCAAAGTTGCTTACCCTAGCTACCTACAGCTAGCGGAGGTCATAAAGAACTGTGATTTGTTCCCGGAAATCTGTACCCCTCGGCAGACATTTTGCAGAACTCTGTCATCTGCAGTTAATTACTAAGCGTTAATGAATCAGTTAATCTGTGGATTGACGTAAAATTGTAATGCTAGAGGACACAAGGTTGCTTTCTCATAACCCTTGAACATGATGCACATGGGCTCAGCCATGTGTGTGCCTGAGCCCGTGTCACAATGAGTCATCGTCCTTTCATTTCCACTTTTCCGCACTGCTAACTCTTTCAGAGTCCTCCAAGACATCTGCAGGTTGCAGGGTTGTTCCCGTTCACCGTTGAATCTCGGAACGGGCAAGCGGCTCGGCATTAATTTTATTCAGAGAGGCATAGTAGCGCCGTTGTCTTCAAAGATGCTGTACTCACCGCAGAGAACCGTAGCGACACGACTGCACTCTACGATAGCTGGCGCCAAACCGTGCCAAACGCCCTCCCGCATGACCTTGTGGGAGCCTCGGTACCAATAAAGTGATTTTCTTTTTTCTTTCGTTTCCGTTCCGATGACATAAGTGGAAGGCAAGTGCTCATTTATGCGTGTGCGTACGTCAACGGAAAGGGAAGAAAAACTGATGACGTACGTACACGTACGTACACGTAGATCATCAGTTGGAACGGAGAGGGTGAACCTGTCTATCCGCAGGGCGACTGCGGCTCTTGCTATTCGTTCAGCACCACGGGCTCCCTCGAGGGGCAGCACAAGCGCAAGACTGGAGTGCTCGTGTCGCTGAGCGAGCAGAACGTGGTGGACTGCTCCTTGGCCGAGGGCAATCAGGGCTGCAATGGAGGACTCATGATCAGCTCGTTCAACTACATCAAGAAGAACGGGGGCATCGACTCGGAGGAGTCGTACCCGTACAAGGGACAGGTGAGGGAGTTTGGTGAGCCTGTGCCTGGAGGTAGTGAAGTCTATTGTCTAGAGCAGTGGTTCTTCACTGCAGCCTGCACCCCTTTGGTTCTCAGAAATGGCATCTGGCATCCCCAGGGCGTGTGGGCACTCCAGGTTAAGAACCACCGGTCTAGAGACACCGTGAAAGACCAGTTTGTCACTATCGTTTAGAGCAGTGTTCTTCACTAACTTTCAGAGGGGGCGGGGGACTTTTGCCAATAAGATGTCAGTGTGAGGGCCGCCACACATTGGGTTTGACAGCAGTACGATGGTGGGGAGGGTGTTTTCACATGTGTATTGCCGGGGGCCGAACGCCAGGGGCCGCACTAAAGGCCATCAGGGGCTGCAAGTGGCCTGCGGGCCTTGCAATGAAGAACACTGCTCTAGAGATCGGTCTGTCAGCCTACTGTCTAGAGCCCCTATCAGAAACACCTCAAGGCTAGATTTGAAGCTTCTAGATTTGAAGCTTTCGTGACTGCAAGGATTCATATTCTTAGGTTTTTTCGGTAAAAGTCACGTAGGCAAAAAATTAAAATTAATAAAAGTAAAATAAAATAAAAGTCACGACGTTTCGGAGGCAACACAAGCTTCCGTCTTCAGGTGGAACCGTCACAGCACGACTGCTGCATCAATTAAGCCTCAAGGCTTACAATGGCAACGCTGACGGTGTTTGTAATACGCGGTGTATGCGTCGCACAGGTCGAAACGTGCAAGTACGACCCCAAGAACAAGGCCGCGGAGGTCACCGGCTACGTGGAAATTCCCGAAGGGGACGAGGAGGCCCTCAAGAACGCCGTGGCCTCCGTGGGCCCGGTGTCGGTCGCCATCGACGCCAGCCTCAACTCCTTCACGTACTACATCTCCGGTGGGTGCTCATTTATGCGCAAGTGGGCCAAAGTTCCCGCTCGGACCTGACACGTGCCCAAACCGTGCCAAACCATGCCGTCAAGTCAAGTTTCTAGATCTGCCCCCCACCCCTTCTCTCAAAGCTTTGCATGCTAAATGAGGAAAGAAAATCTGAGAGAAGAGAAGCTTCCATATTTGGGGGGAGGAAGGGACAGTTTAAAGAAAAGTAACTTGCCATTGTGGGAAATGCCAGGCGGAAGAGATGGCCTTTAATTGAACGTCATGGGGGTCTGTCCTTGAGAAGGAAGTCAATCTCGTCTTTAATTTTGTCACATTTTGGGCTTCTCCACATTGGTCCCCTCGAATACCTATTTTTAACTGCGTATTCACCATTTTCCTGCTTCTAGCGCGGGGATGGAGCGGCAGTGCAGTGGAACACCGCTAATGCCAATGGAAAGATATATCTCAACGAGTGCAGAATTTTCCCCTTTACCTACCAGCTGTGACCAGTTTGACGTATGGCCAAACTGCCTCCATGACTGACACGGAATGGGAGAGGCCTTCATTCTGCAGTTTATTAACAAAAGGGCTGTACACATTTGGATGGGGAGGAAAAAAATGTAACCATAAAAAATGATATTGGAAACGCTGTACGTGCAAATAAACTGGAGGTTACGGCTGCTATTATTGTTGTGGTGTTTTCTCTGACCTCTAGGCATCTACAAGGACAAATTGTGCAGCCACAGCACTAACCACGCCGTGTTGGTTGTGGGCTACGGTGTGGATGAGAAGGGACAGAAATTCTGGCTCGTCAAGAACAGGTGTGTTGCTGCGAGAGCAGCCACTAAATCGTCGCAAACGTATATACAACATTAAAACTAAAATTATGGCCCTTTGTCAAACCCACTGCTGGAGGAAAGGCCTCCCTATGCGCCGCCTCGGATGGTGACACTGCTCTGTAGTGGGTGCCGAATTTGGTCAATGGAGAGGATTTTTTGTAATAAACAGAGTACCCAGGATTCCACTGATTACCCAGGGTTCCACTGCCCAGTAGTATGTATGTATGTTGAACTTCTTTCGCACCGTACGTAGCCAATGGTGCTAATCTATAAACTATACGCAATTTTTTTTTATTTTACCAGGTCAGGCCCACTGAGCTATATAGCTCTTTTTCAGAAGCGACTTGGCCGCAAATTATATCTAAACACAGTGGGCTTATGTGGCAATTTACATGAGCCAAATACTCGGAACGCATGTTTCGAATGTGGAGGGAAAATCTGGAGGACCTTAAGAAAAATCTACGTGGCCACAGGGAGAACATGCAAATATTCTTAGGTTTTTTTGGTAAAGTCACGTAGGTAAAAAATTTAAATTAATAAAAGTAAAATAAAATAAAAATAAAATTAAAATCACGACGTTTCGTTTTGCTGTATCAAGTAAGTACTTGATACAGCAATCGTGCTGTGACGGTTCCACCTGAAGACGGACGCTTGTGTTGCCTCCGAAACGTCGTGATTTTTATTTTATTTTACTTTTATTAATTTAAATTTTTTTACCTACGTGACTTTACCGAAAAAACCTAAGAATATGAATCCTTGCAGTCACGAAAGCTTCAAATCTAGAACATGCAAACTCCAAATTTACAGGTGTCAGGGTAGGGATTGAACCCACGACCTCCTGTATACCACACGAGGTAGTCAACATCTCGCCACTGTGCCGCCCTCATCATTTGAGGGTGCCATTGGCCTCTGAGAGGCTTCTCTGCCTTGAGGCACGGTTAGCTCTACACAAAAGACCGCACGCCTCTAAACCGGAGTCCCTTCATCCTGTTTATACGTCACGGTTTTTGTTTCACCCAAATGTTTATCATCTCAAGGTAAAACTTCACCTTTTTTGTACCGCACCATTAAATTGTGACTTCTATTCCAATATCGAACCGGCATTGGAATAGTGTCCCAGACAGTATGAGAAATCATTGATAGGGCTTTAAGTTTTAAACAATGTTATTGGAATTATCATTCTTAATTGCACGTGTGTTATTTATTTTAAAAGTTGTGGATGCTTAAAATATATATGTCATTTGTTAGTTATAGCGATAAGTCAAGAAATACCAAAGTCTGCGCTTTCTGGTTGCCCGGGTGAAAAATGGGCTCTGTCCTTGCCAGTGAGGACATCTGTGAAACTACTGGACATCTTCTTGGTTCTTTCGGTAAAGTCCCTTCTACGTGACTTTACCGAAAGAATCAAGAAGATGAATCCCTGCAGTCACGAAAGCTTTAAATCGAAATTCTACTGGACATCTGTGAAAAAGTGCTTCATAACTCATCGGGTTCCTCCAGTCTAAATACAGATTATGCAGCGGATTGACAACAGGAATGTACATATACTGTACACGCACACAGTGTAAGCATCCGCATTAAGCAAGCAAAGGTGGCTGGGTATGGTGCTGACCTCACCACTGCCACTACGTGACCTACCGACTGTAATGTACGCAAGTCGAATTTCTTTCGCACCGTACGTCGCCAGCCGTGCTAATCGGAGGTGCGGGGTAAATAGCTACTGACAGTGCTTGTCTTCTCCGTCTGCATGTGATTGTGTGATTGTGTCTTTGTCTATCCGTGTGTGTGCGTGTGCAGCTGGGGAGTCCAATGGGGAGAGAAGGGATACGTGCGCATGGCTCGTGATGACAACAACCTGTGCGGCATCGCTATTGCTGGTAGCTACCCACTGGTGTAATAAACACATTGTCCTGCGGAGGGAGCTGGTAGGAACGTTGAGTTGCTCAGTCAATGGCCAGGGTCAACGGCGGCGTGGTGTATTCCGGAAATATGGCCGACTGTGAGGGTGGGCACAAGCCGGCGTGAGTAGGTTAAACGTTGAGTTTTATAAGGGCACCATGGGGTGACCAGCCCCTCCCACCCCCCACCCAGCCCCTCCCCACCCTCCCCACCCAGCCCCTCCCCTCCCCACCCAGCCCCTCCCCACCCTTCCCTATCCACCCAGCGACACCCCTCCCATTTTTGGATGCACGACGGACGGACGGACACAATAATCCACTGTGGGCTGGTGTAACCAGGAGGTCCCTACCAGTATCAGCTGGTCTGCCTACCTCCTAATAATAGAGAGAGAGATTTAGCACAACTCAATGTCCCATTGATAATTCAAGTGAAAGCCTTGCTCAAGCGTTTAGCTCCCCAAACGAGCAATTGCTCGTGTTCAGTTCTATTCGAGACCCTAACCCAGAGGTTGAAAGTTCATCATGATGGGGCAGCGGGGGGGGGGGGGGGGGTAAGTTCTCTGTAGATTGACAGCTGTTGACTACCCACAATTTGGTCCTCATTTTATCAACCTGCAGTTATTAACCGGCTGAGTTGGCCCCCAGTAAGGATTTGAACTGCGTACTCGCTAACAGAGGAACCAGACCGCATATTGTTTTAAATCTTGTCATTCTTTAGCGATGATAACGAACGCTGGTTTACATAAGTAGAGGTTTTACCCTTTTTGACAATACAACAGGTGTTAAGATGTTCGAACACCAAATAGAAACCTTTTGCAAGTCATCAAGTCTGCATTAACCACACATAAGAAAAATAAGAAATGGTAAAATCCCTTGTAAAGTAACAAAGGTGAAACCTTTTTCTTATTTTGCATAATTTTGATACTGCAAAAATGTCCCATAGATAACGCTGACTCCATTCGAAGAAACTTTTTCGGGCTGGCTTTGAAATTTCTGTGAATGAAGGTGTAAGCCAAAGCGACATTACTCCGTGGCAATGCAGCGGTGGCATTGCCAAGTAGTGGCACATTCGCCACTTGCTGCAGAATGTTTTGCGGTTTGATCCTTGGCGGCCACCCTGGTTAATACTGCGGGTGTATTAACCGAAGGCATACAGGGATTCCTCTACTTACGAACATTCGACTTACGAACTTTCAGAGATACGAACAAACCTGGTCCGTATGTCCAATTGCCCGTTCGGACCGAGAGTCGTAATTTCAACCACTGCCCAATAGATGGCGGTGGCACCTACATCTGCAGAACGTTTAAAGTCATTCCCCGTGTTTAGTGTACATTCCCTACAACGTGTTTAGAATCGACAGGAGTAAAGTTGGACTTACGAACAAATCGACTTACGGACAGACCTTTGGGAACCTAACTTGTTCGTAAGTAGAGGAGTCCCTGTACACTGTGCTTCACAGAGGAGGCATTGAAGATCCCGTGACCTTACGACAAAAAAACCGCGTAGGTCATGCGTGCTGGCGTAGATTTTTCCAAATTTGGAAAATGTGCACACACAGCAACATCGCGCCCCCTGTACTGGCAGATTACAACCCAGCTGTTAAACGGCACTTTCAAGAGATATGCCTTGAACTATGACAATGACATGACTACCAAATATACTCATGATTATTATTGTTATGATGATGATTATTATAATAGCTGTTTATTTTTGGGTCGCATTTTCCTTAAATCACCGTGCTACCGTATTCCCCAGATTAAAAGAGGCACAGGAAGATACCCAAAACTGTTGGGTCGTTTTAAGTAAAACAACATGTATATGTGGGTGATTACTACGGCAGTGACATCATACAGCTTGCGAGGGCTGTAGTACCTGATATGAAACTCGGCACAACCATTGTATAACATTACAAGTGGGGCATAATGGTGCCAGTCTCAACACTGTGATTGTCAGTTTAACACGTAGGCTTTCGCGACCAATATCCATGAAAGGTTTTTGGGTTAGATCGCGTAAATACAAATGTGTCGTTAAACCTGCCACCACCTGGCAGCCACTGAAAAAGGTTTGGGACGTAAAAAAAACATGCCAATTCGTTACGGGTACAGCACACCGGTGTGTTGGAGAGTAAACCGTGACGAACCTTACTTGTGTCGGGTGGTGGCGGATTTAACGGCACATTTATACTTCTTGGTTTATTAGGTAAAGTCACGTGAAGGACGGCTGCTTGCGTTTGTGGCCGAAACGTCGTGAGAATTATTTTATTATGTTTTATTATTATTATTTTATTATTTCCATTCTACGTTACTTTACCGAAAGAACCAAGAAGATGAATCCCTGCAGTCACGAAAGCTTTAAATCGAAATTTAGGCACATTTATATTTACGCGATCTAACCTAAAAACCTCTGGACTGTGATAGTAAGAATATCAGCTGAACTCAGTCCCGTGCCTTCACATGTAAATAATATATTTTTAAAATATATTGTTTATAGTAAAAAATATATATTTTTAATATATATTATTTATGAATGTATACAGTACCAGTAAAATGTTTTCTCTCCAGGCACTTTCTAAAATCCGTTTGCAGCACTGGGTGGGTGGCACGTAGACGGAGTGGCACTTTGACTGACGGGTAGACAGAATGGCACACAGATTTAGTGGCACATAGGCCGACTGGCACATAGACAGAGTGGCGCGTAGACTTGAAGCTGGGTGCAATTGTGACTCTGCATGTCCAGGTGGCAGGTTTCAGTCCACATGCTGGATTATGATGCACTCACCAACCTGTAAAATTATTGAAACGAAGTGCGTCTTATCATGTGGAGAGTACGGTAGCGCGGTGTTGGATTCACGATTTGCATTGCAAAGCGAGACTACTGCTCCAATCTCGTTTTCATTCATCTCAAACTTTCTGCTTTTGTTAAAACTGAAATAGATACTACCGTGAAAAATGCTTGAAATTTGGGTGCACTAAAAAAATATTTTACACTGACTTCTATGCTTTTAAAAGTGCAAATGTTGATTTTAGTGAAGGGATAACTGTAAACTTTACAATATATTTTTTACTCGAATAAAGAATTTAAAATGTAACGAACGTGTGCGTTTATTGGCATAGGAGCGGTGGTGCAACGGTTTGTGCTGTGATCCCAGACACCTGGAGTTGCATTTCCCGATCAAGTACAACCATCAGTTGCACATTGCATTTGAACCTGTCTTGGGCTTCCCCTAGATTAACTCCGCCTAAAATGGTGCGACGTGTAAAACTACAGCACTGGGAGACCGTGTTAGCTGGCCACACCACTCATTCACGTGTTGCTATGGCTGGCTTTGCCTTAATAGGCGCTTGCTAACAGCAAATATCCTTTGCTCTCATAGTACACTTCAACCACGTCCTCCTATTACTCCCACATGTTTCGTGGATTACTCGTGCATATGGACAACGAGTGACCTGAAAGTTGTCCTGTCAGAAGCAGCCAATGTAGCCTATTGTCCGCGAAATAATTCACTGGTGATTAAAGTTGCGCGGCAAAATCATATTATCGGTGTAAATCTGTAATTATTATTTCACGGATGGGACTTATTTTCACAGATGATCTCGGAACCACCAATATCTTTAACCCCCACACATCTGCGATTGGATGAGGGCCTCCCCACAACTGTCTTGCCATGGAAACGATCTGACCATACTTCACCACGCTGGTCCGTTTGCGGGCTGGTGAAGGTGGGGGAGCAGTAAGCGTTGGAGGAGCATAGAAGTACAGAACAATTGATTGTGTTGCACTGGCGGGGAGCGGCAGCGTCGTGGTCAGCGCGCTGCGCTACGAACCCGGCGACCCGAGTTCGATTCCTGCTAACGGCTCAACACCGGTGACGATTATCTGAACCGGTCCTGGGCCTCTCCAAGGTCGACTCAGCCTCAAATGAGTACCTGGTGCGGTGTGTAAACATCGCCACTGGGGAGACAAAGGCAGTCGGGCGTGGTGCTGGCCACCCACCCCCTCGTTGCCTCCATAGGTGCTCGCTAACAGCACTTGCCCAAACAGTCTGTTACGGCTATGGGGGGAATCTTTGTCTTGTCTGCTGGCCACCAAATAGCGTATGCATGTACGTATATTGAACTTCTTTTGCACCGTACGTTGCCAACCGGAGGTGCGAGAAATCGATGACAACCTGGTTCGTGCTTATTGGGCGCCCGTTCCAAGCACTACCCAGGCTCAAAGCTTCCAAAATGTGACGAGAGAATGGTTAGGCAAGGGGCTGTCCATAAATGACGTCACGTGATTTTGGCCGATTTTTGACCCCCCCCCCCTCGTCACAACGACGTCACAAAAAGTCAGACCCCCCCTCAAATATGACGTCACAAAGCTCTCCCCCCCCCTAAAAAAAACATTTCCATTTTGAAAATAAAACATGCTTCAAATCGCTTTAAACTATTGTCATTGTAGTGAGTATTTAATGTGGTGCTGCACTCTGATGTTGTAGGAGAAAACATTAAAAAATCTATTTAATTAAGTAGAACGTGTTTTCTATATTTAAAGTTGCGCATTTTGATGTGACGTCACATTTCTCAACTACCCCCCCCCTGCTCGTCACAAATGTCTGACCCCCCTCCCCCCCCTCGGTGCGTGACGTCATTTATGGACGGCCCCTCACCTCATTCCGGGTGGTTGGACATTGCTGCTCTTTTTGAGCCGGGAAAAGATCCTCGCTGGCCGCTGTGAATTATTCCACCAGATGGCAGTGTGCGATTCAAAGTACGAGCTCGATTTCGATTTAAAGCTTTCGTGACTGCAGGGATTCATCTTATTGGTTCTTTCGGGAAAGTCACGTAGAATTGAAATAATAAAATTATTAAATTATAAAAATAAAACATAATTTTATTATGTTTTATTTTTATTATTTCAATTCTACGTGACTTTACCGAAAGAACCAAGAAGATACGAGCTCGATTGTTGAGTTTAAATCGCAGCTACGTCTGGGAGCTCACGTGCTTTATTTAGTTCACAATGAAGTGAACAATCTTGCCCCCTTCCTGTATCTAAACAAATGATTTGGCGATGTTGCTGCATTGTCAGTGGTGCACAGCATAATTATATATAAAAAAAACAAGATATTCGTCTTCATGGAAACAGTTTCAAAGACAAATGCTCTGATATATCATCAGAGCATGTTTGTTCGCGTGTTTTGCCACAAGTGTGTGGTTAACGCAGACTTGATGCCTTGCAATAGATATATCCATTTGGTGTCTGAACATCTTAACACTTATTCTTGGTTCTTTCAGTAAAGTCACGAAGAAGGGAAATAATAAAATTAATATAAAACAATCAAAATATTAATATTATTTTGTTATTTCCCTTCTACGTGACTTTACCGAAAGAACCAAGAATATGAATCCCTGCAGTCACGAAAGCTTTAAATCAAGATCTTAACACTTGTTTTATTTCCAGAAATGGTGAAGCCTATTCCAATTTGTTCATCTGACACTAGCAAAAAGGTTCCATAAACATATACACAATAAAACCCTCTCTAAGCTGGCCTCGAAATAGCCGGAATGACGGGGAGGTAAGCCAGATAGGTGCTACTAAATAATCTATTCATATTCTTGGTTCATTCGGTAAAGTCACGTAGAAGGGAAATAATAAAATAATAATAAAACAATACAATTATCACGACGTTTCGATTGCAACACAAGCAATCATCAGGTTTGAAAACCACAGCAAGAAAATATGAAAAAAGTGGCGGTTTAAAAAAAAAACAATTTCAAATTTTCTTGCTGTGGTTTCACACCTGATGATGATTGCTTGTGTTGCAATGGAAACGTCGTGAGAATTTTATTTTTGTATTTTTATTGTTTTATTATTTCCCTTCTACGTGACTTTACCGAAAGAACAAAAAATATGAATCCCCGCAGTCACTAAAGCTTTAAATCGAAATATATACGTAGATTAAATTAGATAAACAAACTACGTTTGAGCCTAACACCTGATACTGCTAGTTTCAAGCACTGGGTTGGGGGTTGCGTATCTGAGAGCAGTGCCGGCATCATTTAGATGCCGGTTGCAATCCCATTATTCCACACACACGCGTAGACAAACCGTTTTTTTGTGTGAATACGTATTTATAATTCCATTCAGAACTTCCAGGTGGCATATTCGTTAAAGCACTCAACTCACAAATGTGGTTGCTATAAACGCACACTTGATAATCCACTTCGTTGAGCTATCATTTGTGACCAGGTCGCTTGTAAAAAAAAAGCGAATACCTCTGGGCTTCACCTGGTAAAATAAAAATGTTTTTTTTTGTGATTTGTTTACCTTTCCTATTCTTTGAACTCCTATCGTGTTTTGATACTGTTTGTTGTTGTAACGTTCTTACCCCGTGCCCCTACTGAACATCTCTGAAAAAAAACTTAATAGTTCATCGGATTCCTCCAGGATAAATCAGATTCTAACTCCCAACAGGAATTTCTTGAGTTCAAATCCCAGTTATTGGTTTCATCGGATCACCTTCCCTCCAGAGTTTGTTGCAATAAATAAACAGGTCCCTGCGGGGTGGGCTGGTAGGAACGAACAAATGAATGGCTATAATAAAATGAAATGGCGGGGGTACGATACGAAGGGAGAGTTTGAGGCCTAGTTCTAGGCTTTAGGCCGCTGTGAGTTAATTTTTAATTTAAATGGTTTAAATTTCGATTTAAAGCTTTCGTGACTACAGGGATCCATCTTTTTGGTTCTTTCGGTAAAGTCACGTAGAAGGGAAGCAATAAAATAATAAAAATAAAACATAATAAAATAAAATAATTCTCACTTTCTTTTTTTTTTTACGTTTCGGCCACAACGCAAGCAGCCGTCCTCAGGTGAAGAATGAGACATTTCCAAGCTAGGAGCTAATATATACGTTGCGTTGGAGGTGCAAGAGCGCCTTAACAAAAAGAATGTGCATATGAAGAGGAATTTAGCATATTCATGGGAAATGCGTAGGAGGTGGGTGGGGGGGGTTTCATAGTCATATTATGCCCATGCATTATGCAGGATCAACAGCACCAAGGGGGGGTGCAGTAGCATTAACAAAGGTAAAGAATGTTAATAGTATGTAGCTGCAGTTACTAAACAACAACGTAGAAAACTAAAGTATAAACTACATAAAAAACTAAAGTATAAACTGCATAGCACCATCAGTATACTTACTATACTCTACAATAAGCTGAGTTACTAACAACAAGTAATACATTACAATTCTACGTCGTAAAAAAATTATATAATATGCTTCCATCTAAACTTTATTCTCTTACATCACACGAGCATACACCGTACTATATACTGCCATAGATAAACCCAACATTAAATTATATACTGTATTGCTATAAACCACCCTATACCTTATACATTTTAATATAACACTATGTATTATTCTACTCACCCTAATGTGTATCACACTGCTATATGTTTACTATACAATTACGATACTATATATTACTTTGTACATTGTATTAAGCATATAAATGTTATACTATTTGTTATTATACGCTGGACCATTGACCGTCGTATCAATGGGTGAGTCGTGGGGGGGAAACTTGCAGCGGAGCAAAGAATCCATTCCCTGCGGAGAATACAATGCCAGTGAGTGGAACGCGGTCTGAAAGTCACCGTAAACGTGAACACAATCAGTTAAGATCCGAAATGGTTTATTACGTCCTTCCAATGATTGCTAAGCCAGAATCCATCTTCTCGGTTAAAATTGTCTCTGTGTTTGTATATGTGGATCGCCTCATGAACGAATCTCTCATGATAGCCAGATGGCTTGCAGAGAACCTCTGTCTTGGAGAAGTCAATGTCATGTGAGCCCACTGAGTTGTAACAGTGATCTGCCACGGCTGAGGTGTTTGTCCTACCGTGTTTCAAGTCTGCTTTATGTTCACGGATGCGGTCCGAGACATGTCGTTTGGTTTCCCCAATGTAACTGCTACCACAGAGGCAACTTAGTTTGTAGACGCCAGGGTACTGTATGTCTGGAACCACATCTTTTACAAACGGTACCAGATCACGGATTTTATGTACTGTGTTGAATCGAACCTG